GGGCCCTCGGGTGTGCCCCCTCCAGATACAGAAAGCGGTCCGCAGTCGCCTGTGGCGGTGGTGGGCGCTGGCCACTGCTTGCCACTCCCGCTCCCGGCAACAAGCCGCCAACTGCTGGTGCCACCTGGACCAGGACCTCTGCAGAAGCCGCTGCTCTGCATGTAGAATGGCCTGTGGCAGGACAGAGGGAGAGGACATCAACTGGGGGGACACAGAAGCCAGGGGGGCCCTACAGGCCATGGATAATGACCAAGACATAGGAAATGAACATTCAGGAGCTCCCTGGACTAGAAGCTATCTGTAAACCCCACTGATGGGACAAAGAGGCCCAGAACCTGCCCCTACCTCAGGAACCCTTCAGTGCAGGTCTGGATTCAGGAGACTTCCGAAGAAAGGAGGCAGGAGTGCGAGGCCTGGAGCAGGTCCTGCCCCTCCAGGTACCTCCTCGGACAGCACTTACCACTCTCTCTGCCAAGCGGTGTTCTCGATGCTGAAACGTCTTCTGCCGCCAGACAGCAAATACTCGCTTCTCTAGTGTCTCCCTAACAGCAGCAAAAAAGAAGAGGAACATGCTTAAAATAAAACAAACAAAAGTCCTCCAAAAGACATAGAAGTTTCAAATAATTGGGATTTTTCTTTTATAACTGTGTTACTGTAGAAGAGACAAATGAAAGAGAAATAGAAGGAAAAAAAAGGGAAGGAAAACAGACAACAGCTACGAAACCAAAACATCTGACATTTTCCAAGTTCTTTCTTTCTTAACTTTAAAGAATTATTTAATTTTTTAAAATTTAATTTAATTTAATTTTGACTAGAGAGAGAAAGTAAGTGAGAAAACAAGCTGCCAGGTCTGGGACTTAAACCACAGTCGGCAATGTAGGAATCCTACACCTTAACCACCACACCACCTAGGGCCATTGGTTCTTTTTTTTAATAGCCAGAAGGTGCCTGTGCTTGACAGAGACAGCAGGGAATAGGGGGTGTATGGGGAGTGGAGCACCCCCCAGTGGGGCAGAGTCACACCACAATCCCTTTCCACTTCTCCATCCTGTTGCAATCTGGGGCATGCATGCACACCCCGCAGTGTGTTTTACAAGCCACCAGGGCAAGAATGCAAACCTGTGGTCAGTCATGTGGGATCCGTCTCCCTCAACCACTAGGCTATGGACTAACCCATTTTCCTGGCATGAACACAGGAGACTCATCACTCTAGAGAGTTCTACAGGGGCCAGCAGGTGATGGAGTAACTAAAGCACTGGATCCCCATATGGCTGTGGCTGGAGTCCCAGGCCCAGTGGCTTGAAAGCCACACTGGGTACATGTGCATGCGTGCCCAAAATCTCAAGAAGCGGTTTTAGAGAAGGGACTGTGGCATGGACATGTCCCATAGAGGGTGATTTCACTTTCCCTCTCTGTCTTGCTCTGGCGAGTGCACATGCCCTATGGCCAAAATAAATAAGTAAATAAATAAAAGAGAGAGAGAGAGACTTCCACTGCAGGCATGATGGTCACTGGCCACGGACTTCCGCTCCAGCCGTCTAGTACCAGGCTAGACAAGACACAGAAGGCCAGTGTATTCTCTCTGGAGTGAGAGCATACGTATTGATGAGCACAGTGTGAGTTTTCAACACAGGAACACAGTGCATAACGATCAAAGCAGGGTGATGATGCTGTCTGTCATCTCAGACATGTGTCACTACTTTGTGTTGGGTGCATCTGAAACCCTCACTTGCAGCAAGCTGAGACGCGCGTCAATCCTTGCTAGTCCAGCTACCCTACTGTACTGTTATCACCGGGACTCGTTCCTGGGGTCCGTCTGTAGCTCCCTGTCCCTAACAGCTCTCTCTCCTGTTCCCGGCCTTCAAGGTTTCTAGTCTCCTCTACTCTCTATAGCTCCAAGGTCATTGTTTTTTCTTTTTTCCTCTTTTCCTGCTATAGGATGCACTCACTTGCCAGGGATAGAGAGGAAGGTGAGGGGGGGTGCGGATGGGAAGAGTGAGAAATCACCCCGGGGGGGGGAGTGATGGACATGTCGTAATCCCTTCTCCTCCAGACCCCTCTTGGGATTTTGGGGACACACACACATGTACCTGGTGTGATTTTTTTTTAAAAAAAGAATTATTTGTTTGTTTTAATTCGACTAAAGAGGGACAGAGAGAGGGGGGAAAGTGAAAAAACAATCTGCCAGGTCTGGGACTCGAACCTCAGTCAGCCATGTGGGAGTCCGGCGCCCTCAACCCCCACGCCACCTGCCGACCCTGCTCCTGTGTGATTTTCAAGCCACCAGGTCTGGTACTTAAACCATAAAGTTGGCCATGTGAGATCCAGCTGCCTTAAAATCCTTGCCACCTTTTGGCCTCAAAGTCATCTTTTTTAGTCTCCCTGTATAAATAAGAACTTGTGGTATTTCTCTTTTTGTTCCTGGTTTATTTCACTTAACAAAATGTCCTTTAGGCTCATCCATGTGGCATTGAGTGGCAGGGTTTCATTTTCTTTAGTGGCTGAATAGTATTCCACTGTGAGTGTGTACATGTGCGTGTGTGTGGTATTCCACTATATGTACGTGTATGTTCGCATAACACACGTATATGTGTATATACGTACCCCATACCCTCCCCCACACTTCTCTTCACCCATTCGTGTGCTGACCACTCCGAGGTGACCCCCATCCTGGTGCGTGACTGCAGCAGCTATGTCCAGGCATGCACACAGGCATGCACACAGCTGTGTCCAGGCATGCACACATGCTTAAGAGAGCATCATGGGAGGCCTTGGGCTTCTTGGGCTTTCTGCCCGGGGGCGTTCTCTGGACAGCAAAGGGACCGAATGCCAGGCAGAGCATGACGGCTTCACAGAGTGGAGGAGGCAGAGATGGGACCAAGGCTGCTAATGGGACTGGAATTTGGAGGCAGGTTATGGGCAAGGAGAGGAGTGAGCAGAGGGGAAAATCCAGAATCATACTGAGGCCAGCCAGGTCCTCCGATGAGGGTTGTCAGTGCAGACTCCTGGGCCTAGCAGAGGGTAGGAGCACTCTAGCTATTGCAGGACTAAGAGCTAAACAGAAGAGCTGTCAGAGGCTGGCCAGGGCTGGGAGACACAGTTCTGACCCAGCCAGAGGAGGGAGACCACAAAGACCAAGGTCATTCATCTTCACTTGGCCTGTACTATAAAAACAGAAAGGAGCATCCTTAGCCCGAAGGGAAATGATACAGATGAAAAATCTACAGGAGGAAATAGAACACTGAAAATAGAAAACATACGGGTAGGGACAAGCTGGTGGCATGGCGGTTAAAGTGCTGGACTCCCACATGGCTGACCACGCTTGTTATTTCACTTTCCCTCTCTCTCTGTCAAATGAAAAAAATAATAGACAAAGTTAGTAAAAAATTATTTTTAAAAATTACTGTATTAACAAATTAAATTAAAACTAGAGAGAAGATAAAAGTATAAAGAGCTAAAATCAATCAATGAAAAATAAAACTGGCAAAGCAAAAAAAAAATTTTTTTTTAAGAGACACGTTTTGTTATAGGGCGTGTACATGTGCCAGAGAGACAGAGAGCAACAGAAAGACAGAAAGCGAAAGGTCAACCCCCGCCCCATCCCTGCCCAGGAGGGATGGCCATGCTGCAATCCCTCCTCCTTAATTTTCCTCCTGGGATCTTGGGCATGCATGCACACACACACCTGGTATGTACGTTTCAGGCCGCCAGGTCTGGGATATGAACTGCAGGTGACTACATGGGAGTCAGTGACCTAACCACTACACCATCTGCTGGTCCCAACAGTTGGATTTAAAAAAAAAAAAAAAAACTGATAAATCAAGTCCAGCAGGTAGTATTGTGGTTAAGGTAATGGGCTACCACATGGTCAACCGTGGTTCAAATCCTGGACCTGTCAGCTTGAAACTCATGATGGGCACATGTGAGTGTGTGCCCAAAATGCTAAGAGGAGAATGGAGGAGAAGGCATTGTACCTCTGGGGGTGATTTCTCACTTTCTGTCGCTCTGTCTCTCTGGCAAGCACACATGCCCTATAGAAATAATCTCTCAAAACAAAAACAAAACAAAATTTTTAAAATTTTAAAAAGAGGAAAGAAAACACAAATTAATAAAATCAGAAATGACAGATGAGATTCTGGAAAACTAAATTTTCTAAAAAGGTCCCACAAATCAAAACAGGACAAAATGCAGATCAGGCCTTCAGATCCTTCATGGCTACCCCTGTGTTGGCTTGACTCCCCACCGTCGTCTCCCCAAAACTGCCCCTAGCAAAAGTCCTCCTAGAGGCTTCTTTTGGCTACTTTGATGCATACAGAATTTTTGGTTCCCACAAGATACAAAATATAAAAATGCCACAAAACCAAGCCTGACTACTTGTATGTAAAGAAAACAAAAGGGTGGGTGAATGAGTTTCAAGTCCTGCAGCCATTTTGTGAACTTTTTTTTTTTAGGTTTGCTATAGGGCACGTGTGCTTCTGGAGAGAGAATGAGAGACGGGGGTGGGGGTGAGAACCGGGTTAGGCCACACCGTATTCACTCTCCTCTATTCTCCTCTTGGGATTTTGGTCATGTGCGTATATGCACTGGCATGTTTTTCAAGCCGCCAGGTCCAGGACTTGAACTGTACAGTCGGCCATGTGGGATACAGTCCCTAAACCACCATGCCGCCTGGCTGGCCTGTGAATAAATTTTCCACTAGACCACAATGCAGGAACTAGATGAAGGCAAAGCATGGTCTGCAGAGGGGGCAGAGGCAAGGGCTGTCCAGCTTCTATTCCCTGAGGCCACCTGCTAAAACCCTCCTTGAATTTGTGCTAAGAGCCTCTGTGTTCTGCTCGACCCTCTTAAAAATCGCACTGCACTGCAGCTTCTCCAGCGTAAGTACTACCCACCCCCAGGGCTGTCACTGCACTCAGGGCCTCTCGGATCTCCAGTGTGCAGGTTTACTAGCACCATGTGCCTGCTCGAGCCCTGTCAGCGCCTGTCTGTAATCGGCCCATCCCTCCTCGCCTGGCCCGCTGTGGCCTTCCATCCTCACCCTTCCTGATCACAGGATGCCTCCCTCTCCAGCCACCCTAGCACCAGCTCTGAGTTCCAGAACTTGTGGCTGATGTCATTGAGGGCACAAAGATTTATCTTCTTGGATTACTGTGTTTCAATTGCTTCTTGCATATCAGTTTTCTCTCTTCACAAACATTTATAGCTCCTATAGCACTATCAAAAAGATCTTCCTGCTCATCCACTTGGACTTTGGAATTGAAGATCTGAATTTAAACTCCGGCTCTGCCATGTTCTGGTTGTGTTATCATGAACAAGTCACTTATTTATCATTTTGAACTTGTTCTTTCAAAACTGCTGTGAGAAGGTAATTATTTTATTTTTAAAATTTGACCAGAAAGAGAGAGCAAGAAAGTAAGAGAAAGTGAGAAAGCAGGCTACTAGGCCTGGGACTCAATTCGTAGTTGGCCACGTATGAGTCCAGTGCCCTCACCACCATATCACTGCCGGCCCTACGAGAAAGCAACCACTAATGAAGAGAATGATGTCATAGGTCAACTGAGCTTACATGAGGGGATCATCAAAATCTCATGGCAGAGGACCAGCAGATGGCGTAATGGTTACATTGCTGGACTCCCACATGGCTGACCACAGTTCGAGTCTTGAACCCAGTAGCTTGAAACTCATGCTGGGTGTGTGTGCATGTATGCCCAAAATCCCAAGAGGAGAATGGAGAAGGGATTGCAGCATGGCCATCCCTCCAGGGGGTGATTTCTCGCTTTGTGTGAGTGCAAACTCTCTGTAGCAAAAAATCTCTAAAACAAACAAACAAACAAATAAAATCTCATTGAGAGAACCAGTAGGTGGCATGGTGGTTAAGGCGCTGGACTCCCACATGGCTGACTGTGGTTCAAGTCTCAGACCCAGCAGCTTGAGAACCACATTTGACATGTGTCCAGAATCCCAAGAGGAGAGGAGAAGGGATTGCTGCGGCCATCCCCACTGGGTGATTTCTAACTTTCCCTCCCTTTTTCTCTCTCCAGTGAGTATAAACTTCCTACTGTAAAAACCTAAAACAAAGACCAAAAAGAAAAAAAAAAAAAAAAAAAGCTCACGGAAAGTGATTATAATGAAAAAACTACTCATAGGTTTCATAATTTTTTCCACAAAAATGAACTTGTACTTTAGTTCTATTTTTCCATGTGGTTTTAAAATTCCCTTGTACTTTCGTTTTCTTTCTCCATCACACAATGCCCACCACACTGGCAGATACACAATTAACAATCATTTCTTTGGGGCTGATCCCATGGCCCGTGATTAAGGGAACTAGACCATACAGTTTGAATCCTGGCCCTTGTGGTTTGAAATACATGCTGAGTGTGTGTGCATGTGTACCCCAAATCACAACAGGATGGAGAAATGGAGATGAGACTGTGGTGTGACTACACCCCACTAGGGGATGCTTTTCCTCTCTCCTCTCTCTTTCTGTCTCTCTCTGGTGAGTACTCATGCGCTCTAGCCAATGGAAAGACACTACTAAGGTCAACCGGTGGTATGGTGGCTAAGGTGGCTAGATCCCCCATGGCCAACTATGAGGTTAGAGTCCCAAACACTGTGGCTTGAAAAATAAGCGGGGTACATGTGCATGCATGCCCAATGCCACAAAAGGAAGGCAAAATGGAAGAGAAGAGATTGTGGCATGACCAACCCCATAGAGGTGCTTTCTCTTTCTCTATCTCTGTCTACGTCTCTCTTAGGAGAGTGCATGTACCCTCAGCCAAAAAAAAAAAAAAATAGTGGTAACTGATGAAATAGTGAACAAAGCCATAACAACAAAAAAAAATAAACATAGCTAAAATTAGTTTTTTAAAAAGAATTATTTCACCTTACTTACTTATTGAATATATTTATATTTGACCAGAGAGGGACAGAGTGAGAGAGGGAAAGTGAGAAAGGAAGCCGCCAGGTCTAGAACTTGAACCGCAGTCAGCCATGTGGGAGTCCAGTGCCCTTAACCACCAGGCTACCTTCCAGCCCCTAAAATTAGTTCTTTAATAACAACAGGGACCAGCAGTTGGCGTAATTGCTATGTTGTTGGACTCTCATGTAGTTGACCGTGGTTTGAGTCCTGGACCTGGTGGCTTAAACCGGGCGTGTGTGCATGTGTGCCCAAGATCCCAAGAAAAGAATGGAGGAGAAGGGATTGCGGCGTGGGCATCCCCCTTGCGGGGTGATTTCTCGCTTTCTGTCTGTCTCTCTCTGTCTTTCTGGTGAGCACACACACCCTATAGCAAAAACCTCTAAAAAAAAATAGTAATAATAACAACAGGGGTCGGCAGGTGGTGTGGTGGTTAGGGGCACTGGACTCCCACATGGCTGACCATGGTTCAAGTTCTGGATCTGGTGACTTGCTTTCCCATTTTCCTTCTCTCTTTCTGTTTCTTTCTGGTCAAATTAAAACATAATGATAATTGGCTCTGGCAGGTGGCATGGTGGTTGAGATGTTGGACTCCCACATAACTGACCACAGTTCAAGTCCATGTGGCTTGTTTTCTCACTTTCCCTCCTTCTCTCTGTGTCTCTCTCTGGTCAAATTAAAATAATCATAATAAAAATAAAGTTGAATAAATAATTCTTTAAAAAATGATAATAATAAACTTAAATAACTCTTAAAGTAACAGCAACAACAATAATAATAATTTCCTCCTTATGTTCCACCAACATGTAGTTAAACCCTGCTATGGGGAGTGTGCCCCTGTGGAAGCTAAAAAGATATAGCTCTGGTTCTTGACCTCTCTAATTTTCTTGCTGACGATCATTTTAAGACTTCAGAAAGCCAGGTTTAGAGAACAGGAATGTAAAGTGTCTCAGGGAAATTGCACTTGAGAATAACTGCCAAGGCGATGTGAGGTCCCACCTTGTTCCTACCCAGAAGGCCAATGGGCGGCTTTAATGGAAGGCTCAGCAGTTTGTAAGGCAGGGAGGGGCCTAAACACAGGCGTTTGGGAAGCACTTGAAATAAAGAAAGACAAGTGTTTTCCCAGGGGAAATTCTGGCTGTCTTTTCTTGCTAGATGAAATCGATGAGCCCACATTATTGAAAAGCCAGGAAGAACCAGAGCCTGGGAGGACTGGGAGGGTGAAAAGCAAAGCAAATGGATTGTGTGGCCAGCAGAACCAGACTTGAGACGCCTGCCTAGCAGCCAGAGCAGCTCAGCCTACCTGTGAAACTGCACTGCTCTTGTGTTGAGGACCTGCTCCTGCCGACGCCACCGCCACAGTCTGTCCCACGCATGGAAGGCAGCAGGCAGAGCTCTCTGCTGGAAGTGACCATCTGCTCTGGCCTGCAGCAGCTGGAAAAAAAACAGTGAACTGTTCTCTTGTTTTTGTAGTTTGTTATAGTGTGCACTTGCCAGAGAGAGGTGGGAGAGAGGGGACATGAGAAAGCACCCCAGGAAGGATGGCCATGCTGCAATCCCTTCTTTCTCTCAGGATTTGAGGCACACACTCACAGGTGCCTGGTGTGATTTTTCAATTCATCAGGTCCAGGACTCAACAGTGGCTACCCATGTGGGAATTAGCACCTTAACCAACACACCAATTGCTGGCCCCTGGAACCCTCGCTTTTAAATCCCTGATGCCTGATTACCCCAAGGCCACCATCCTGTAAGGAAGCCCAAGCCTCATGAAGAGGCCACATGTAGGTGGTCTGATTAACACTCCCAGCTGAGCACAGTCTTCCAGTCATCCCAGTCCAGGAACTAAACCTGTGCATGAAAAAAGTTCCAGATGATTCCGACCCCCTGACATTAGATTCTTCCCATGTAAGTAACTATGTAGTAACTGTGGAGCTGAGACCAGTCATCCCTGCTGTGTCCTATCTTAATTTTTGAGCAACAGAATCCATACACATAATAAAAATTATTGTTTTTTCTTTCTTTCTTTTTTTTTTTTTTTAGAATTATTTAACTTTATTTATTTATTTTAATTTGACCAGAGAGGGACAGAGAGAGGAGAGCAAGCTGACAGATCTAGGACTCGAACCACGAGGGGCCATATGGGAGTCCAAGTCCAGTGCCCTTAACCACCACACCACCTGCCGGCCCCATGATTTTTTTTAATACCACTAAACTGGTACCATGTGGCTGCCTCCACGGTTCATGTCTCAGACCCAGTGACCTGAAAAACATGCCAGGCGTGTGTGCGTGCATGCCCAAAATCCCTAGACAGGAAAATGGAGGAGATGGGATTGTTAATGTGGCCATCCTTCTAGGGGATGACTTCTTACTTTTGTCCTCCCTCTGTCTCTCCTCTGGTGACTGTGAGTGTCCTATGGCAAAAATACAAAAACAAAAACAAAAAAAGAAGAAAGAAACCCAGAATAAATAGTATTTTGATCATTTCCTAAAACAGAAAGAACTGATATGCTCCTGAGATAGCTATACCAAGAAATGACATTCAGATTGCTGGCTAAAAGCTTCAAAAGAACAACCACCAAGCAGTGTTCTGACTAATTTTCCAACCTACTGTGGCCTGAGAAAGCAGGCCATGCCACAGCAGCATGGGAGGTAAGGGTAATGACCTTGAACCTTCCACTGAGGCCGGCCTCCGTGTTGGGAGAGCTCTCTCCTTCCAGGGAGGAAATAAAGAGACCCTCTGCTTTCCGTCTTCAATGAACATGACATTTCAACCCTGGCATTCACAGTATTTTTCTAAAAGACCTCTCTACGTTCTGTAGAACATGCATTAAATGAATTTGAGAGGACAAGTGACAATGTGCTCTCAGAAACAGCCACATGATCCAAAGGGATGTCCCAGATGAGAGACCACATGTATTTCTAGGAGTAGAAGGCAGCATGGCCTGGACTAGTGCCACCTTATCGCCAAGAACCTGGGTCATCCCCATGGCCTAGTCATTAGGGGAGCCTGGAACTCACATGGGCAACTGTGGTTTGAGTCCCGGTCCCAGAGGCTTCAAAAACATGCTGGACATGTGTGCATGTGGGCCCTAAATCCCTTCGGGATAGAGAACTGGAGGAGTTATGGCATGATTGTACCCCACAGGGGTGCTTTCTTCCTCTCCCTCTCCCTGGAGAGTGCACACACCCTCTGGCAATTAAATAAACTCCAAGAACTGAGATGATCCTTGGGAAAAACCCTGAAGTGATGGAAGCAGATCATTTGTTCATTTGTGCACGCGCTCATCCAAAGGTGACTCAGCACATACTGCAAGCCAAGCGTTTCGGGCTACAAGGAAGGAAGAGGCAGGCCGTATTCTCAAGGAGCTCACAGCCAGGTATGAGGGAGGCTGGTGAGCAGCTATGCAGCGATACAGCTCTGCGAGTGGGGCTGGGGTAGGCTGGAGAGGAGGTAAGACCTGAGCTGAAAGAGCAGTGAGGAACGGAGACCTGCAGGAGGACGTGAGGTTGCTCTGGGTGATGGTGGATTCACTGGTGAGAGTGCAGTAGTGGAAAAATAGTACTAACAGAAAAGGGTAAAGACAGATGGGGACTAGCTCCCAAAGGAGTCTAGATGATCACTAAAGATCTGGATCCTGGGCTGGCTCTGTGGCCTAGTGGTTAAGACAGCCAGATCTCACACAGGTGACCACATGGCTCAAGTCCAGGATCTGGTGTCTTAAGAAACACACCAGGCGTGCGTGCATGTGTGCCCAAAATCTCTAAAGGAAGGAAGATGGAGGAGAGGGGTTGCAGTATGACCATTTCCCGTGCTGGTGCTGCTTCTTCCCTTTGGTGAGTGTGTGTGCTCTCTAGTGGAAAAGAGAGAGAAAAACAATTGGATTCTACCTCTAAACTATGGGGAGGCAGCCACGGTCTTTAGATTCATGTGTCAGACTCTGGCAGCAGAAGGAGACGGGGTTGGGGAGGAGAGGTCAACATGAAAATAACTGGGAGGAGTTTGGTTTGTGCCTTTCTCTGATCCCCTGCCAGGGGTGGCTAAAAAGGGGCAGGCATGTCTCACTGCCTTGCCCAGGTGGATATCGTCAACTGAGCACACATTCCCACCAGGCCTGAATGTGGCCTTAAAATCTTTGGTTCAGTTTTCCAGACGGCTGCTCCCCCATCATGAGAACAGACCTGCAAGATCACACCCTTCTGCCACCCTGTGGAAAACTGACCCACCCCACCTATGAGAGCATGAACTTTGTCTACTTCTCACCAGAGCTGCATCCTCAATGCTTAGCTCAGTTTTTTTTTTTTTTTTTTTGAGAAGGAAAGTGAGAAACATCACCCATGGGGGATGGTGGCAGCATAATCTCTTCCCCTCCATCTCTCCCTCCTTTGGGAATTTTGGGTACATATTCATACACCTGGCATGTTTCTCAAGTAGCCAGGTCTAGAACTTGAATTGAACAGTTGGCCACACGGGATCCAGCCACCTCAACCACCTTGCCACCTGCTCACTGGCCCACTCAAAAAATATTTATTTTTGGGACCAGCAGGTGGTGTGGTGGTTAAGGTGCTGGACACTCCCACATGGCCGACCATGGTTTGAGTCCCGAACCTGGTGGCTTGCTTTCTTACTTTCCCTCTCTCTCTTCCTCTCTCTCTCTCTCTGGTCAAATTAAAATAAATGAACAAATAAATACAATTAAATAAATAATTATTTTTTTAAAAATATTTATTTTTAAGGTTTTTGCCATAGGGTGCATGTGCTCACCAGAAAGAGAGACAGTCAGTGAGAAATCACCCCTTCCCCCCACAGGGGATGGCCATGCTGCCATCTTTTTTTCCCCATTCTCCTCTTGGGACTTTGGGCATGCACACCACACATGCCTAGCATGATTTTCAAGCCATCAGTCAAGGACTTGAACTGTAGTAGGCCATGTGGGACCACCACCATGCCATCTGCTGGCCCCTAGAAAGTATTTCTTAAATGGAACTGAATCTAGGGGCCGGCAGTGGCATGGCGGTTAAGGACACTGGACTCCCACATGACTGACCAGGGTTCGAGTCCTAGACCTGGCGACTTGCTTTCTCACTTTCCATTTCTCTCTCTTGCTCTTGCTCTCACTCTGTCCCTCTCTGATCAAATTAAAAATAAATAAACACAGTTAAGTAAAGTAATTCTTTGAAGAAAAAATGGAATTGAATCTTTCATTGTGTTTTTTTTTTGGGGGGGGGGGGGGAGGTTTTTGCTATTAGGGCACATGCACTTGCCAGAAAGATAGAGACAGAGAGACAGAAAGTGAGAAATCACTCCCCGGGGGGATGGCCACGCCTCAATCCCTTCTCCTCCATTCTCCTCTCGGGATCCTGGGCATGCATGCACATGCGCCCAGCATGAGTTTAAGCCACCGGGTCTGGGACTCAAACCGCGGTCGACTACATGGGAATTCAGCGACATAGCCATTATGCTAACTGCTGGTCCCGGAATTGAATCTTTCTTAGTCTATTTTACTAATGTGTCATCCTGACCAACACTGCTTCCCAGGGTCCCCGATCTTGTACGGTTTGGTCCTGGGAATCCAGCATTTACACTCTGCACTGCTCCCCATAGCCTCTGAAGGTCCCACTGGCAGCCGGGCTGGCTAAGTCCTATAATAAAAATCCTAAGGAAGGATGAGAAGGCTGGTGAGGGCTCATTACTCTCAGAGAGCAGCACCATTTTCAGAGCAGATGAAGGAATGAGGTCAGGCTGACTTCTGACATCACTGGTGGAGGAAATACCTTTGAGCTTTTTATAGCACTCTTGCTTCCATAGCAGAACAAGAACTCTTGGCACAGACCTTTGCCAAGAATTTTTCCAAAGCAATGGGTGACAGATGTCAGCCCGTGCGGCTATCTGCTCTACCTGCTTGTGTCGCCTCCTCCGAGTGTACTCTAACCACAGGTTGAAGCACTTGCGTAGCAACGTGATCCTGAAACAGAACACAAGACAGTGAGGCGCTGCCCAGCTGAGCCTTCCAGTTTTTAAAATTTTGTCTTTTTTCAGTGGCAGGTAAATCTGGGCATAGTTGCTTTTTAAATTTTTTTTTTTACTATAGAGGATGTGCACTAGCCAGAGAGCGAGAGAGAAAGGGGAAGTGAGAACTCGCTCCCCGGGAGGGAGGGCCAAGTCACAACCCCTTCTCCTCCGTTCTCCTCTCAGGATTTTGGGCATGCAGGCACACGTGCCCAGCATGATTTTCAAGCCACCAGCTCCAGGACTCAAACTGAGCAGCCAGCCACGTGGGATCCTGCGCCTTAACTTCTATACCTCCTGCTGGCCTTGACAGTTAAAGGCACCCCACCGGCTTAGGAGAAAGGGAAATAAGAACCTGATAGCTCACACGAAATCGGTCAAACCTTGATTCTGGACTGTGGCTTGCTTGCAAATTTTGACAATTTTCTTGTAAACTTGATGAGACCACCAGGCACAGTCTCTCTAGAACTTAGGGAATATGTATGACACTTTGCAGGTATCAGGAACTTTTTGGTTTTGTGGTCAAACTCTGGGCTTCTCCAGGCATAGGTGGGCCAGTGACATGTTCCTTTCACATGGTGATACTGAGAACGAGAGCCACATTCATTTTTGTAAAACAGGACTTAGAATGACACACCTCGGGCCGGCAGGTGGCGTGGTGATTAAGACACTGGACTCCCAAATGGCCAACTGCTGGGTTACGTCCCTGACCTGGCAGCTTGCTTTCTCACTTTTCTGATCTCTCTTTCTCTCTGGTCAAATTAAAATAACATCAACAATAATAATGATAACAACAACAACAATAATAATAAAATTAAATAATAATTTTTACAAAAAAGAATGACACACCTCAGTAACACTGAACTGAGTCAGTTAAATATTGAGATTCTCACTGATCCATTAAAAAATGCTCCAAAGGGACCAGCAGTTGGTGTAATGGCTATGTCGCTAGATTCCCATGTAGTCGACCGTGGTTCAAGTCCCAGACCCGGTGGCTTAAACTCACACCAGGCACGTGTGCATGTGTGCCCAAGATCCTGAGAGGAGAACGGAGGAGAAGGGATTGCAGCATGGCCATCTCCCCCGAGGGATGATTTGTCACGTTCTGTCTCTATCTCTCTCTGTCTTTCTGGTGAGTGCATGTGCCCTATAGTAAAAACCTCCCCCCCAACCAAAAAAAAAAAAGCTCCAATGAAGCCAGCAAGTGGCGGAGTGGTTAAGGGCACTGGACTGCCAAATGGCTGGCCACAGTTCGAGTCTCGGACCTGGTGACTTGCTTTCTCACCTTCCCTCTCTCACTCTCTCTCTCTCTGTTAAAATTCAAATAAATAAAGTTAAATTAAAAAATAATTCTTTTAAAAAATGCTCCAAAATTGCCCTGTGTGCAAATTGTTGCTTATATTGTGGCGAATGGAGGAGAGGATTTAAATGAACATTTCTGGCAATAAGGTGGTTAACAGTGGGTATTTATGTATTTTTGAGAGATTTTTGTTATAAGGTGCGTGCACTCGCCAGAGAAAAAGAGAGACACAAAATGAGAAATCACTCCCCAAGAGGGTATGGCCACATCATAATCCCTTCTCCTCTATTCTCCTCTTGGAGTTTTGAGCACACATGCATAATGCACCTGGTGTGTTTCAAGCCTCCAGGTCTGGAACTCAAATTGTGGTCGATTATGTGGGAGTCCAGTGACGTAACCATTACACCATCTGCTGGTCCCAAAAGTGGGTATTTCTGAGGAGTAAGACTAAGGAGCCAGGGGCCAGACAACTTTTATTTTTACTTTTTGCCTTCCTTTCTAAATATTCTGAGATTTCCTCACAGAAGTGTAGTGCTTTCTGATACCGGATGGTAGAGAAGCGGTGAAAACCTGACGCTCCGTGAGGCTGACCACATGGGAAGATTCCTGGCTCATGTCTGGAGACCTCCCTGAGTACACTGGGCATGGTGGACCCATGATCCAGGCTGGTGGAGGCTGAGCGGTTGGTATCAAGATTTTGTTAGGGCTGCTATATTTGTTTCTCTGACTCATGGAACAAATAAACTTAAAAAAAAAAAAAAAGTAGTGCTTTTATTACTTATTTTAACCGAATGATTAGCTCAAAAAAGGACACTTACCTGCACCTGTCAAGACTGAGCCACAAACAGCACCTGATTTGCCCCTTCTCTTTTTTTAATATTTTGTCTAATTTACTTATTTATTTATTTTTCCTGGTTCTTCTCTCTTTCTCTCTTTTTTAGATTTTTGCCAGAGTGTGTGTGCTCACCTGAGAGAGAGAGAGAGAGAGAGAGAGAGAGAAATCACCCCCCCCCCTCCAGAGGGTATGGCTCCACTGCAATTCCTTTTTCTCCAGTCTCCTCTCGGGATTTTGGGTACACGTGCACACGTGCCCTGTGTGTCTTTTAAGCTGCTGGGTCTTGACCTTGAACCACAGAGTCAGCCATGTGGGATCTAGTGCCTTAACTACCACACCATCTACTGGTCCTCTGCCTTTTCTCTTTAACACCAGCAGCACACACATTCTAACATGTGAATGAACACTGCTGATGCCTGAAGGACTGAGCAGTGAGCTTCCAGGCCCATACTACAGAGGGTGGGCACAAAACAGTGCAAATATCTGCATTCTGCATCCCATGTGATCAGTGAAAAATAACAAACTCAGGACCTCTGATTCACAGCAGGGCCTCCAGTCACAAAAGGCTTTTCTGAACCCGCTACACCAGTGCACGGAAAGATAAGCCATCACTCCTGGAGAAGAGTGACGAGGCATTCCCAGGATGAAGCAGAGTCCCTACCTGTAGTGGTTCCAGGCAGCACGCAGTAGGGGCAACTGCTCCCTGTCTTCCCTCTGCTCCATCTGAGACTGCCAGAGGCTCCAGAACCTGCGCAGCAGCTGAAGCAAGATGTGCAGGAAGTGGACATTACTGAGGCGGAAGGGAGAACTCTCTCTCTCAGCTTAACAGTTAATACATCCTCACTCCAATAGACCCTGAGCTCTCCCACCGCAATTACCTCGATTTAGAGTAGCCGACAAGTGTCAGGCTGGCAAAATAATCATGGCAGAGCTGGAGAGCCATGCTGGACCATGTAAAAAGCAAAAAGACGGCTCTTCCAGTCTATGAAAAACTGGATGAAGAAGTTGTTCTTAATGTACCTCCTAGAGACAATGCCTTCTTTTTTTTAATGCTAGAGGGCACACGTGTACCTGGGGCACAGGGGAAGGACCCCTCAGTGGAGCCCAGTCACACCAGAATCTACCGGTTCTCCATCCTGTCAGGATCCTGGGCGTGTGCACATAAGCCTGCTGTGTTCCTCAAGTCACTGGGGCAGGAACTCAAACCCTGGTCATCCATATGGGATCCATCCACTTAACTGAATCATGGGCACTCCCATGGCCAGCCTACTCAGGGTGGTCACCTGGAACTTTCCCCTGTGAGTCAGCCTTGCAGAGAGTTGTGTTACTCCTGAACCACCATCTCCCCCCACCCCTGCTCTTTTAAAAGACAGGGTCTTGCTCTGTCATGATTCTTCTGCCTCCACCTCCAGCACAGCCAGGACTACAGGAGCGTTCAACGTGCCTGGCTGTTATGGTGAGTCAGGAATTGAACTTGGGCCTCCCACCTGAACATTTTCATTTTACTGGAATATTAAAAAAAAAAAAAAGCTACAACAAGGGACCAGCAGTGTGACATATGGCTATGTTGCTGGACTCCCATGTAGTCGACTGCATTTCGAGTCCCGGACCCAGTGGCTTAAACTCATGCCAGGCGCGTGTGCGTGCAAGCCCAAGATCGCGAGAGGAGAAAGGAGGAGAAGGGACTGCGACGTGGCCATCCCCTCTGGGAGTGATTTCTCGCTTTCTGTCTCTCTCTTTCTGGCAAGCGCACATGCCCTATAGCAAAAACCTCTCAAAAACAAAAACACTACAACGAAAACTCATCCTACACCCAGAAACAAAATTTTCAAGTAGAGCCAACACTGTTGCTCTCAGGTATGAGAATAGCTTTGTAATGGGAACACAACCAAAACCTCCTCTAATAGAAGACTTAAGGTATGACTGATTTTAATCCTAGCAGGGTTAAAATACATAGTTCCTGACCTCTGAGTTAGCCATCCGTTTTCTCAGCAAACAGGTTTTTGAAAAATGGGGACTAAACAAGGCAAAAACAAGAGTTTATCAGCAGGTATGGATCACCAAAGAAAACAGGTACTAAGGCTTTGGAGTCTAAAGTCTGGACAAATCTCTAAGTACAAAGGTTAAAAAAAGGTGGTGGTGTGTATGTGGGGGGGAGGCTAGCCGGCGGTGTGGTGGTCAAGGCATCAAGACTGACTGTGGTTTTAGAAATATGCCTGGTGCATGTATGTGTGCCCAAATCCTGGAAGGAGGGAGAGATGGAGAAGAGATTATGGTGTGACCATTCCCATGGGGGCACGCTCACTCTCTGTCTCTCACTCTCTGTCTCTCCCCAGTGAGTGCATGTACCTTCTGGTAAAACTTGAGGAAAAAAAACAAAACCTGTGGCTATCAGTTCCTTGACAGAAGATAGCCCTCACCGTGATGCTGTGCTGCTGGAGGGAGAGGTTCCGTCTCATTCGCTGGATACGGGCATGGGTCACATTGCCTTTTAGGGCTCTCAAGCCAAAATACTGTGCAGGGAAAAAAGGACACAACTGACTACAACACCTGGAATCAACAGAGTCTGTAAAAATAAGAGCAACAAAGGCAGGAAGTGCCTGCCTCAGGGGCCCAGCAGCTCGGAGTAGCTCCCAGCCGTGTCATTTCCCCGTGAGTACTCTCTGCTTTGAGATCCAGCCTGCAGAAGTCCTGAATGAACACCCATCAGTAGTGCACAAGAGCAAACACCACCTCACCTCTGACCAGGAGAGATCCCTGCGACCCAGATGACAATTCTATGGACAAAGGTCAAACATCAACTTTTGTCTCTTGAAAAAGAGACCGGCTTTTTGCTTAGGGTATTTTTCTGTGTTTTGTTTTGGACGAGCTGGGTTCAGTATGCACATGTAGACAATTAAACATGCGGTGATGCCAGAGCAGAACGCACGTAGGACTGCCTCTGCCTGGTGAGGAGGGGTTGCGTGGGGACTGTCCATCCCAGCCTGGCTCCAGCTCCATCAAGAACGCCTCACACGGGACCTAAGCAAGACTCCCCCGCCCCCACTCCCTACCCCACCTTGGTTTTCAGTTTTCTGAGGCAGAACTGAAGAGATGAGACCGGATTAAGGGTTTCCACATCATGTTTGGTGGAAAGTCACAGGCCTCCAAAAGTGTTTGAAGACCAATTCACGTGGTGAGGAAGAGAAAAGGAGCCATGGGACAGGGCCGGCTCCCCAGATCTTGCTGGGATCACAGCACTGCTTCTTTGATCACTCCACAGATTAGGCTGCCACCACTGATAAGGGGTTTCACCAGGAATAAAAACGCCTAGGATGAGATCACCTTGAAGGGTCTGTTTGCAGCACCAAGTCCCTCTGACTACACATCGTTGCCATCCCTGATCCAAAATGAAAACGGGGGCACCCTTGGTGAAAGGAGGACTTTATGACGGAACCCATGACTGCTTACACTTAATGGGGGTGGTGCGGGTCAGGGCACCCAGGAGCAGATGTGGGAGCAAGGCTGAGGAGCGGGCACGCGACTTACCAGCAGCTGGTGCCTGTGGTGCTCCTCCGCCATCTCCCAGTGGGCCGTGTCCTCCGCACACAGCAGCACGTCTGCAGGAAGTTAAGGCTCCCAGCCTCAGCGAGGTTCCCACCAGGGCTCAGGGTGCTCCCAAGGACCTATCCGAAGGGCTACACCTGTGGGTAATAGGCTTGCCAGGTGGGCGGCCACACACCTTTGTCTCTTCCTGCTGGCCCAGGGAAGCAGTGAGCACAGGGGGACCATGAGAGTGACTTACAAACAGCAGGCCTTGCTGCCCTTCCCTGTGTGCCCATTTGATAAGGGGGAAAATACCCCAAATAGGGTCAGCAGGTGGCATGGTGGTTAAGATGCTGGATATCACATGGTTGACTTACACAGTTCTAGTCCCAGACCTGGCAGCCTGAAAAACACACAGGGCTTGTGTGTATGCATGCCCCAAATCCCAAGAAGAGAATGGAGGAGAAGGGATTGATTGATTGTGGCATGGTCATCTTCCCCAGGGGATGATTTCTCATCCCGCCCCACCTCTGTAAGTCTCTGGCAAGCACACGTGCCCCTTAGCAATTTAATTAATTAATATATAAATACAATTTTTGTTTTAAAAAGAAAAACAAAATATCCCGAATAAATTGCACCAATATTTTTTTTACTTTTTTTTTTTTTTTGAGAGGTTTCTCGCTATAGGGCACTTGTGCTCGCCAGACAGACAGAGAGATAGAAAGTGAGAAATCACCCCCCAGTGGGGATGGTCACGCCGCAATCCCTTCTCCTCCATTCTCCTCTCGGGATCTTGGGCATGCACGCACACGCGCCTGGCGTGAGTTCTAAGCCACCAGGTCCGGGACGCGAACCGCGGTCGACTACGTGGGAATCCAGCGACATAGCCATTACGCTAACTGCTGGTTCCCAATTGCACCAATTTTAATAAGCACTTCAAAATCACCGGATTTGGGCCCTCTGTGTTGGTGTACGCTGGGCCGAAGCTGCTATTTGGCAGGCTGAGGCCACATGGGATTCCCAGATCCATTCCTAGCCAACCCTAAAAGCCTGCTGGTGAGATGGCACACACCTGGGGGCCCAGCGACTTGGGAGCTAAGGCAGGAGGATCCCCCGCTTGTGGCCAGTGTGGGCAACATAGCAGACCCTGCCTTGACAGCGAGAGCAACAAAACTGCACAGCTGGAACAGAACCTGCACCTACAATGCATTCTCTGTTTTGGCATCATGATCTGGACAGATGTTTGAGCTAAAGCCTCAGAGTTATTTTTAAACCCTTCCTCCTCCCACTTCCCTCATCTAATCAGCTGCCAAGCCCATCTGCTCTCCTCTGAAATCGCTCCTCTCTCTGTCCCTCCTGTTCTTCTGTCCCTGTCCCAGCATCCTGCAATTGATCCAGATTGTCCTTTGCACAGACTGGTGAGCAAGCCTTCTCACAGAACTGGTCTCCCTGTGCTAGCATCCCTCCTCTACTCCAGAATTTCCCTTCCTCAAGCGCAGATCTGATGGCATCTCTTCTCTCCTCCCCCAGCCCATGTTTCCAGAGGGTGCATGTGATCACCGGAGACAGACAAAGGGAGAGGGAGAGGCAGAGGCAACGGGAGAAAGCACCCCCACTGGGGCACAGTCACACTGCAGACCCTTCTCCATTTCTCTATCCTGGTAGGATTTGGGCCATGAATGAAAGTACCTGACATAGTTTTCAAGCCATGGGGGCTGAGATTTGAACTGCTTGGCTGGCCATGTGGGATCTGGGTTCCTTCACCAGTAGATCACAAAGCTGGCTTCTTTTCTTAAAAACCTCCAAAGACTCCTCACTACCATCAGGGGAAAGTCCAAATTCCTGCTCACAAGGATTCTACAAGCTTGACCCCAGCCTGCCTCTACCCTCCCACCATCCATAGCCCCACAACTCACTTCGGATTTGTGAATGCTTTTCCTCACCTCTGAGCTTACTTAAATGCCCTTTCTTAAACCTGCAAATGCCCTTCCCAACCTCTCTGCTGGGGTAAGGCATCATCCCCATTGAGCTCACACATCACCTCCTTAGCTCAATGTCCACAATGGCTCCTGCAAGACGGTGTCAATCTTTACGACGGTCCTTTCATGCCATACTGCAACTGCCCTTTCAAGTCTACTTCCTCCACTGGACAATGAACTACTGCAAGTCTTTGACTTTCCTGTATCCCAGAACTTAAGCAATGGTTTGGTACAAAGCAAGCATTTAAATGCTTGTGTGGATTAACACCCATGGGAGTATACATTCTTTTTTTAATAATTATTTTATCTTTACTTACTTCATTTTAATTTGACCAGAGAGGAACGGGGGAGGGGAGTGAGAAAGCAAGCCACCAGGTCCAGGACTTGAATTATGGTCGGCCACATGGGAGTACAGCACCCTTAACCACCACGCCCCCTGTCAGCCCTGGGAGTACAAATTCTTACACTTGGGCACCCTGTGTGTGTGTGTGTCGGGGGCACAGGATTCAAAGGTCTAGGTTCAAACCCCGGGATCTGCCTATGACTTGCTGTGATGCTGAAAATCACTCATTCCCCCGGAATCTGTTTCCTCATCTGTAAAATGGAGGTAGTGACCTCTACTCCACAGGGTTGCTACGGGGGGTCAGAGGATAACGCATGATGCCTGCTCGTAGTAAAAACTCAATAAATGGAAGCTATGATCACAGTGAAGGTGTAACCAAGCAACAGACAGTGTGGCTGTTTCAACTACCTAAAGGGTGGAAAAAAGCAATGAAATAACATGAAAAAATGATCATTAGCACAGTGAGATTACCTCTGCAGGAGAGGGAGTGTGAGCAGGGAGGGACAGACAGGGTGCCAACGATGTTCTATTTTTTAAGTTGGGTGGTAAGTATGTAGGTGTTGTTTTGTTATTAGCCTTTAAATATATAAGTGTTTTGTATGTATAGTCTCAAAACATAAAAATTAAAAAGTCAACACAGATAAGACTTTTTAAAAATATTGCCAGAGTGCGTATGTATTCACCAGAAAGACAAAGAGACAGAGAGCGAGGGGGAAAGAGAAAGCACCCCCAGTGGTACATGGTCACTCCACAATCTCTTCTCCATTTCTCCACCCTGTTGCGATTTGGGGCACGCAATCACACATGCCCAGCATGTTTATCAAGTTCCAGGTCTCAGATTCTAAACTGCAGTCAGTCAGTCATGTGAAATCCAGCACCCTGAAGCTCCAGCTCCCTTAAGCCTGCTCTCAGGGCCAGCCCAAGGCTATCTTAAATTATTCGGTAATTGTTGCCCCTGTATCTCATAACTTTTGCTTTAGGTGCTAAGCCACACTGTCCTGGCTGGGGTTTGGGACAGGCCCTGGTGGCTGAAAAGGATACAGTGTCTCCAGTGTGCCAAAGCCCGCCGCAGCGCCATCCTCCTGGCCAGCCCCTCCACCAGGGCGTGGTGGGCATACAGGCTCTGCCTGCTCTCCCAGGCCCACTGCCAGTCACAGAAGTGGATCTGGAGCACAGTGACACGGTGGAATTGCTCAGCCATCTCTGCAAGAGAAAAATAAATAACTTACATGCTGCTCCCCTAAGGCGGGGAGATGAGTTGGAAGCATCTTTGAGACAAGCTGAATGCACTACTTGCTGAGAGCAGTTCAAGGCTGCTCCAACAAGGAACCCTTAAAGAATAGTTTTTCAAATACAAGGAGGTCACTAGGAATTCTGGGTTATATCACTTCTTTTTTTTTTTTGGAGAGGTTTTGCTATAGGGTGTGTGTGCTCGCCAGAAAGACCGAGAGAGACAGAGAGACAGAAAACAAAAAATCACTCTCCAGGGGGGATGGCCACACCACAGTCCCTTCTCCTCTTGGGCATGCATGCACACGCGCCTGGTGTGAGTTTAAGCCACCAGATCCGGGACTCAATCCGCAGTCAACTACATGAGAGTCCAGCGACATAGCCATTATGCCAACTGCTGGTCCCAATATATCTCCTCTCTTTAAGGAAAGAGAAAAGGTCTGTGGTTTTAGGGAAAAGGACACTTTCTTTTTTTGGAGAGGTTTTTGCTATAGGGCGTGTGCACTTGCCAGACAGACAGAGAGAGACAGAGAGACAGAAAGCGAGAAATCACCCCCCCAGGGCGGATGGCCACGCCGCAATCCCTTCTCCTCCATTCTCCTCTCGGGATCTTGGGCACACACGCAGACGTACCTGGCGTGAGTTAAAGCCACCGGGTCTGGAACTCGAACCATGGTCGACTACGTGGGAGTCCAGCGACATAGCCGTTAGGCTAACTGCTGGTCCTAAGGGGAAAGGACGCTTTTATAAAACTAGTTCTACCCAAGAGCTGCGCTGCGGCCTCTGGTTAGCTAATAATGACCAGGAATGGCAGCTGCTACTTTCAAAGAGGACTCTGTCTTGCTTTGCTCTGTGCGGATGTCTGGACCCAGGGACTGCGTCAATGACAACTCAGTCACCATGTTGGCAAAGGCTTTTTTGACCTTTCAGCCAGGTTGATCCTGGCCACTGGCTTCATCCCTTTTTAACACTAACCAGTTAATGGTCCAATGAGCTGAAGCCCAGGAAGTAGAAGGAACTCAGTCCTGGGATGTGGGTGCTGGAACTGGAGAGACATTAGCCTGTAACCCATCATGCTACATGGCTTCACGTCTTCATTGTCCAGGCTTGGGAAACCGAGCAGCTGGTCTGCTCTCTCCATCCTCAGACACATGCAAGCTCTCCCAAGAGACAGTGCTGGCAGTCTTGGTGACTCCTGTAGGGAGGCTAGGGTGAACGCTGGAGAGCCTCACCCAGAGCCCTGCCTCATGGCTGCATAAGCTCGATAAACTTAAGTACAGAATGTGTACCAACGATCGCATGCCTATGAGTTATTACTGCTGAACTTAACTGGGAAGCTAAGCCATAAAACAGTAGCCAACAAACACCACACCATAAATCATGTGCATCTGCAGAATCGGAGATGAACAGAAACAATCCAAGTATCTATCAACAGGGGACAGATAAGTAAATTAAAGTTAGCCATCCTGTAAAACATGAACAGTCGTTTTAAAACACAATTTATGATGAATACTTAAAAACAAAGGAAAGTGTTAATTAGCTGTATGAAAGACAATGCAAGACACAAAACTGTAAGAACCTTCATATTAACCATAAGAACAACAATATTTCATAGTATAATTAAAACAGTCTGAATAAAATATATGCAGAGAAGAAAAGACCAGAAGGAAATAACTTAAAGGTGAATTGAGGATGATGCACTTTCCTCCTCAATCACTTTTTACTTAAATTTGAGGATATAATGATTGTATTCCCCCCTTTCTTAAAAATTTACTTTTTCTTTTACTATGCTGGAGGGTGTGCATGAGAAAGAGAGGAGGAGGGACTGGTCCCAGGGCTCATGCTCTTTTGGGAGAGAGACAGAGAGAGAGGGAGAGAAAGCACCCCCCAAGAGGGCCTCCCACCCCACAATCCTTTTCCCTCCAATTCCCCCTCCCATCAGGATGTGTGTGCCCAGTATGTAAGTCACTGGAACTAGAACTGGAACCCTGGTCAGCCATGTGGGATCCAGATTCCTCTGTGCAGTGCTTAACCACTGTGCTATGTGGCTGGCTCTTCTACATCTCAGAAAAGTACCATTGGCAGCAGGAGAGTGGACACTGGGACTAGCTCACCTGTCTTGAGAGTCCACAACTTTTACTCACCATTCTGCTGCCTCTTCATTCTGCGGACTTGCAGATATTGAAGCCAGGCCTTCAGAGATCTTCGCTTTTGCCAGTGCTGATGGTATTTCACTGCGGAGACTACCTTCTGTCTCTCCTTCTGGCTGCGTAAGAGCTGTCCCTGCCACCGTGACCAAGCCTGAAAGCCATGGAAAAGATAGCAAAGGAGAGGCAGGAAAACTGAGATGAAGAATAGGTTGGGAGGCAAAGAGAAAGAGATACACACTGGCAAGGCTAAAATAAGAAACAAGGAAGAGGCAATCCCCTAGCAGGATCTAAGCTGGGAATTTGGAGTGAAAGGATCATTAAGACAGTGCATTATGGGACCAGCAGTTAGTGTAATGGCTATGTCGCTGGATTCCCATGTAGTCGACCGCAGTTCGAGTCCTGCACCCGGTGGCTTAAAACTCAGGCCAGGCGCGTGTGCATGCATGCCCAAGATCCTGAGAGGAGAATGGAGGAGAAGGGACTGTGGCGTGGCCATCCCCCCTGGGGGGTGATTTCTCGCCTTCTGTCTTTCTGTCACTCACTGGCGAGTGCATGTGCCCTATAGCAAAAACCTTTCCAAAAAAAAAAAAAAAAAGACAGTGCATTCTGCATCCAGAAAGTAATTTATTTTCCATTAATTAATTAATTACTTTAATTTACCAGAAGGTGCATGTGCCTGCCAGAGAGAGAGAGATCGAGGAAAAGTACTCTCAATAGGGTATGATCATGTTGCAATCCCTTCCGCTCTGTCTCTACCCTGTCAAGATTTTGGCCATGTGCACATGCAGGCACAAAACTGGAGTGTTTTTCAAGCCCCCGGCTGGGATTCAAACTGTACAATCAGTTGCATAGAATCAGGTCCTCTTAAACACTAGTCAACAGGACCACTGGCCCTTTCCTGGCTTTTTTTTCTTTTTATTTCTTTTTTCTTTCTTTTTTTTTTTTTTTGTTAGTGCATTTACTGGAGAGACAGAAAGCAAGAAATCACCCCCTAGTGAGAATGGCCATGCTTCAATCCTTTTTCCTCCATTCTCCTCTTAGGATTTTGGGCACGCACACACATGCACCCAGTGTGAGTATTAAACCTCTGGGTCTGGGACTTGAACCATGGTTGACTACATGGGAGTTCAGCAACATAACTGTTACCCCATCTGCTGGTCATTATTTTTCCTTTCTTTTAAGAGGAATAATAAAATCAACCAACTGACAAAAAACAGGGACAATGTGAGAAATGATACAATAAATTCAGATTTGGTGATGGTCTGCTTTTCTTCCACAGTGGGAGAAAGCTTATGCCAAGGGGCCCTTTACTCAGGTAGATTCATTTCAGGGAAGCATACCTACAGAAGTTGAGGGGCTACAGATGGTCCCCTAAAGCCTATCCATGAACACATACCCCTAGGAAAGTATCCCTATATGTTCAGTGAAAGGGCAGGCCCTAGTTTGAAGATTACTTAGACAATGATATCGTATCTTCTCTCTGTTTTTTGTTTTTGTTTTTGTTTTTGTGTTTGTTTTGTTTGTTTGTTTGTTTTTCAGTTTTTTTTCACTTGTTATAGGGCATGTGCACTTGCCAGAAAGAGAAATCACTCCCGGGGGGATGGCCACACAGCAGTCCTTACTCCTCCACTCTCCTCTTGGGATTTTGGACATGTAAACGCAGGTGCCTGGCGTGATTGCCAAGCCACCAGGTCTAGGACTCAAATCACAGTCAGCTGTGTGTGCTCCAGCGCCTTAACTTCCATGCTACCTGCTGGCCCCCTATTTCCATTTCTTAAACCTACAACACTTGTTTTGCTTTCCTTTCTATCAGTTGAATACCATTCTTCTTACTTCACCAAGAAAATGACAGCAATCAAGAGAATTTCCTGAAGGTCCCTCCATGCCTACCCATTCACCTACCCATAGGCTTTGCCATTTCTCTCTCTCTCTCTCTCACTACTCTGGATAAACCACCTATGCTCCTATCAAAGCCCACCCCCACTACGTCTTGTCTTCTCTCACTGCTCTATTTTTCACTCAGGCAGTTTCCCCCCTCTTCTGTATCATCAGTTTTCAATTTCTACTAGATTTCTTAAATCAATATATGAATAAGTTATTATTTCTCCCATCCTAAAAAAAAAAAAAAATCCCTTTAGGATGTGACAAATAAAAGCAATGAGACCAGCAGGTAGTGTGGAGGTTAAGGCAGCAGGATCACACATGGCCAACTATGCAGTTTGAGTCCCAGACCCAGCAGCTTGAGAAACACAGGGGGCACCTGTATGTATACACACATGCACAAAATCCTGAAAGGAAGCTGGAGGAGAAGGGATCATGGCGTGGCCATCTTCCCTGGCAGGTGCTTTCTCATTCTTGCTCTCTGTCTGGTACGTACACGCACCCTATAGCAAAAAAAATTTTTTTTAAATAATAAAAGCAGTGGGTGGCCTTTGGTTGGTCTCTGGACCAAACATGAAAATAGTAACTGTTAACATTACACGCCATCATATCAATAGTAAGTCTCCAGGATGACATCATGGTTATGTAGCAGTATGTCTTTAATGCTGACTTAATTTTATGTCTTTAAAATGGCTCAGAAAAATGAGAAATATATTTATAATGGCCAGCAAGTGGAATGCTGGTTAAGGTACTAGATTCCCACATGACTCACCATGGTTCGAGTCCTGACCCAGCAGCTTGAAAATCACACCAGAGAGACAGAAAGACAGAAAGCAAGAAATCACCCCTTGGGGGGATGGCCACACCACAATCCCTTCTCCTCCATTCTCCTCTTGGGATTTTGGGCACACATGCACACACACCTGGTGTGATTTTAGGCCACTGGGTCCAGGACTCGAACCGTGGTCAACTACATGGGAGTCCAGCAATGTAGTCATTCCGCTAACTGCTGGTCCCAGAAATACTGTACTTTAAAGTTACTTGAAGTAACTATTTTCTTTGTAGTCACTGCCACAAACTTACTCTAAGTCTGTTTCTGTTTATTTAAAAATTCTAGGGATTGCTTTTGGTTCATAATCATATAAAATATCTATCAATTTCAAGGTTAAAACATATAACATAGTAAATCGTGGATGCATTCATACAGTTCTTCCCTGCTCTGACAGGTAACCCTTTTGGTCTAAGTTTTTGGTTTATTTTTCCATTATTTCTTCTAAAAAATACACACACACACACACACACACACACACACACTCACTCACATGTATTTGCTTTCTTTCCCAAAAGGTAGGACACTATGACCCAGGGGGATCACATCACTCCTCTGCTCTGATCCAGCCAAGCCCACCTCCTCTGGTATAAAACCCAAAAACCTTCCTGGGTGCAGCCTGCAAGGCACTAGATAGACTATCTCCCATTATCTTATGACCTCAGTTATCCAGTTTTCCCTCTTGTGCTTGTCACTAAAGCATGAGATGCATGAAACTCATAGAAGGGATAAGTCACTATAGTAAACATGACAGCTTTCCTAACTTAAAGAGTCAGTATGTTATAGTAAAAATTTTGGTAGGCTTGTTGTACTTAAGTTGATCTTAAAATGAAGAGTAAACATAATCAAGACAAGTTTTTAAAAATAAAACAAGAATAGGGGCCAGCATTTGGCAAAGTGGTTAAGGCACTGGACTTCCACATGGCCAATTGCAATTCAAGTCTTAGATCTGGTGGCTTGAAAATCACACTAGGGGTGTGTGTGTGTGTGTGTGTGTGTGCGTGTGTGCCCAAAGCCCAGGAGGAGCATGGAAGAGAAAAGACTGCAGTGTGGCTATCCCTCCAGGGGGGGAAGGTAATTTTCCACTTTCTCACTCTCTGTCTCTCTCTCTGGCGAGCACACAAGTTCTGTGGGGGAATAAAATCTTGAAAAAATAAGAACAAGAATAGGGCTGACCCCTTTAAATAACAGTGAAATGTTGTGCTAAGGGAGCTGGATCCTACATGGCTAACCACGGTTAGACTCTCAGTCTCGGGCCAGCAGGTGGCACGGCAGATGAAGTGGCTAGATCCCATATGACCGACCGTGTGACTGGAGCCCCAACCATACGTGCAGAGATGCCCAAAATCCTGAGAGGAAAAGGGATTGCAGCATGGCCAACCCATCTGGATGGTGATTTCTCACGTTCTCTCTTTCTGTGACTCTCTGGCAAGTGTTCATGCCCAATAGCAAACAGAAAATTTTTTAGAAAAAGAAGAATCCTGGCCTTACAGTTTGAGAAACACGTTGGACGTGTTTGTGTGCATGCCCCAAACACTGACAGGATAGAGAAATGGAGAAAAAAGGATTTGGTCATGACCATATTAGAGGAGTTCTCTTTCTCTAGCAACCACATGTATCCCCTTAACAAGAATTAAGAGATTGTTGCTCATACTGAGAAACTCCAGAGCTACACAGTAGAACACCAGGCAGTTACTGAGTATGTCCACACTCTGACATTGCTTAAGCACAGTGCATGTCTCACCACGGTGAATGGTCAACAATACCATGAGGTAATACTGTTATTACCTACGAACAGATAAGAATTCTGAGGTGCAGGAGATTAAGTAACTCATTCACAGGCACGAAGCTAATAAGTGATGGAGGTGCAACTCCTACCTGGGCAGTCTGACTTGAGAGCCTATGCCTGTTCTTACCTGCCTCATTAAACTGTAACTAAAACAGTATGGTGCTGGCTCAGAGAAGACAAACAGATCACTGGGTAAAGACTCATAAATAAAGGAGACTTTAATCTTTAATGGAGGAGGGTTAATAATCAGTATAAGTGGGCCAGGTTGTGGGATGGTAGTTAAGATGGCTGGATCCCACATGGCCAAATGCACAGTTCAAGAGAAACAAGCTGGTCACATGTGTGTGCGTGCCCAAAATCCTGAGAGGAGAATAGAGGAGAAAGGATTGTGGAGTGGCCATCCTTGCTGGGAAGTACATCTCACTTTCCTCTCTCTCTCTTTCTGTGTGTGTGTATGTGTGTGTGTGTGTGTGTATCCAGTGAGTGCACAGGCCCTCTAACAAATTAAAAAAAAAATTAAAAAATTAAAAATCAGTATAAGAAAGACAAAAGAGGATCTCATCAGTAAATAGCATTAGAGCAATTAATTATCATATGGAAAATGATAAAGATCCAATTTCACATAATTTATAAAATTAGAAGACATATTCAAGACCAAACCACAAGAAAAAAGAATAAATTAGGTTATACTGAAATTAGTAACTCTTTATTCTTTTTTTTTTGTAGAGAGGTTTTTGCTATAAGGCACATGCGCTCGCCAGAAAGGCAGAGAGAAACAGAGAGACAGAAAGCGAGAAATCACCCCCGAGGGGGGATAGCCACGCTGCAATCCCTTCTCCTCCATTCTCCTCTCGGGATCTTGGGCATGCATGCACATGCACCCAGTGTGAGTTTAAGCCACCAGGTCTGGGACTCGAACCGTGGTCGACTACCTGGGAGTTCAGTGACATAGCCATTATGCTAACTGCTGGTCCCAAATTAGTAACTCTTATATGTATATATAAAAAAAAAAAAGACACCATAAACAAAACAAAAAAAAGGGGGAAAAAAAACAACAGATTAAAATAAAAAAGTACCTGTAACTTATATAAAAAATGTATTAGTTGGGACCAGCAGATGGAGTAATGGTTACATTGCTGGACTCCTAGAGTCGACTGGTGTGTTTGAGTCTTGAATCTCGCAGCTTGAAATTCACTCCAGGAGTGAGTGCGTGCATGCCCAAAATCCTGAGAGGAGAATGGAAGAGAAGGGATTTCAGCATGGCCATCCCACTAGGGGTGATTTCCTGTTTTCTGTCTTTCTGTCTCTTCTCTGTCTCTCCAGTGAGCACATGTGCCTGATAGCAAAATTCTCTCTAAAAATATGTGTGTGTGTGTGTGTGTGTGTGTGTGTATTAGTAAGCAGAATCAGAATCAACAATAGTGCCTACAAATCAGTAGGCAAAAGCCAATTACCCTAAGAGGAAAACAGGAGCAAGGGATGGGAACGAGCTCGGAAGCAGAAGCGCACGATGAGTAAGTGTGCGGGAGGAGGCTCGGCCTCTCTAGGAGCCAGTTCACGATGAGCTACAGTTCACATGTATCTGCTGAAAAGGAACAATCCTGTCGGTGCCAAGTGCTACTGAGGCTCGAAGAACTGAACTATTAGCACATAAACCTGGACAGCACTGGAGCAATTGGATGGCATTTAATAATAAGACAAGATGATGAGGCCAGCAGGAGGTGTAGTGATTCCGGTGCTGGACTCCCACATGCTGACAGCAGTTCAAATCCTAGACCTGGGGACTTGTTTTCTCACTTTCCCGCTTTCTCTCTCTCTGTCCCTCTCTAGTGAGTATACATGTCCTATAACAAATTTAAAAATAATAATAGTTGCCATCTGCTGGTCCCTAAAAATGTGTCACTAATAAGATTCTAACTGTTTTTACCTTCAGCATGAACTAATGTAATGATAATTTTGAAAAGGCAAACATGATGGAGTAACTCTGAAAAGCTTTCACAGTGGCCTTTCCATTACATATGTGGCAGGGACGGTTTGTGGCACAGGATACTTATAGTCTGGGGTCCTACATTTCATGTCTGATGTCACCAAAACTGTTCATTCTGTATTTAACACATTTAAAGTGTTATGGGCCTGCACGACGCTAAACACCACTTTAATGGGGTGGCAGGATTGTGTCTTTTCTTAAAAATTATTTTATTTAACTTTATTCATTCATTCACTTGTTTATTTAAATTTGACCAGAGAGGGATAGAGTGAGAGAGAGAGAGAGAGCGAGCAAGTGCAAGCTGCCAGGTCCAGGACTTGAACCACAGTCAGCCATGTGGGAGTCCAGCACCCTTAACCACCAAGCCACCTGCCGGCCCTGTTGTGTGTCTTAATTGCTTCATTTGTGGTTTAGGACAAAGTTGATATTTTTGTCTAAATACTCGCTATTCATATTGATTTTATGGTCGGCTATTAATCACCTAATATATATTGTGAATTATGCAATAAAAAAGATTGTGTGAAAAATAAGTAGATATATAATAATAGTAAATAAATAAAACTTTAAAAAGATGAAGAGATGAAAACTCAATGATCCAATAGCTTCACTTCTAGGAATCAGACTAGAGAAATGCTCAGTCATTTTATGCAAGGATGTACGTTTAAGAGCATTCTCTGTTGCACTATTCCAAGAAACCAAAAGTGAACGACAGGCCATCAGAAGGTGAGCAGATAAACTGTGCTTCAGTCATGAGATGGCTTCATATACACGGCTGACAGATCTCTATATATCCACATGGATAAACCTCAAAAATATGCGGGGCCAGTGGGTGGTTAAGGCGCTGGACGCCCACATGGCTAACTTGGTTTAAGTCCCAGGTCTGACAGTTTGAAAATCACACTAGATGCATGTGTGTGCATGCCCAAAACTTCAGGAGGAGAAGGGATTGTGGTGTGGCCATACCCCTGGAGGAGTGATTTCTCATTTTTTCCCTCTTACTGTTTCTCTCTGGTGACTGCAAGCATATTGTGGCAAAAAAAAAAAAAATAAATAAAATAAAATAAAAAACTAAAAAATACCCCGGTGTATACCTCTGTGTGTGTGTGTGTGTGTGTGTGTGTGTGTTTGAGTGTACACACTGATGCATAAGAAAAGCAAATTGCAGAGCTGGCAGGTGGTGTGGTGTTTACTGGACTCCCACATGGCTGACCCCAAACTGTGACTTCCCTAAAAACGTCCTCTATGAATAGGCCAAACTTCAAGGACCAAAAGGCCAACTTTCCTTCTCAGTCCTGTTTTTGTTTTCTTAATTATTTTTATTTAATTTTATTTATTATATTATTTAATTTGACCAGAGAGAGAGAGATGGGGGAAGGGGAACGTGAGAAAGCAAGCCACCAGGTCCAAGACTCAAACTATGGTTGACCATGTGGGAGTCCACCACCTTAACCACCATGCCACCTGCTGGCCACAGTCTTATTTTTTTTTTCCCCACCATACGGAGTGTGTGCTCACTGGAAAGGAGAGAGGCAGATTCAGAGAGAAGGAAAGTAAAAAAGCAACCCCCTCAACAGAGGGGATAGCCATGCCACAATCCTATCTCCTCCATTCTCCTCTCAGGATTTTGGGTGCCCATACACATATGCCTGGTATAAATTTCAGACTGCCAGGTCCAGGACTCCAGCCACAGTAGTTAACTATATGGAAGTTCAGCACCATAACCACAATGCCACCTGCTGGCCCCCGTTCTTGTTTTTTCCCCTCATTATTTTCTAATTTGCTGTAGGAAAACGGTAAAGAAGATATAGAGCATACTGTTGCCTTTTTTATTTTTTAGGTTTTTGCCACAGGACACACATGCTGCCTGGTGAGAGACAAAGAGGGACAGAGAGGGAGAAAGTGAGAAGTCGTGCCCCCCACAGGGGGGATGGCCACATCGCAACCCCCTCTCCTCTATTCTCCTCTCAGGATTTGGAGCACACATGCACACGCACTCGGTGTAATTTTCTAGCCACTGGGTCTGGGACTTGAACCTCAGTAGGCAAGGTGAGAATCCAGTGCTTTAACCACCAAGCCACCTGCTAGGCTCTATTCCTGTTTCTTTAAGCATGTTTATAACAAATTCACAAATCCTTTGCCAGCTCCACCATTACCAGAAGCTCCCTGAGAAATTACTGGTGACCTCATCTCAGACAATCCTCTGCTTTATTTCCCAAGGCAGCTTCTGTCTGTTGAAGATCCCAACCCCATCTTTAGTCCCGAGCTGGGAGGGCCCAGCAGAGAGACACTGGCAGGATGCTTCCTGCTAGGAGTTTGGGCTACCTCTCTGTGGATGTGGGGCTTAATGACATGGACAGAGGACACCGAAGCCTGTGTGCCGAACTCACCTGCAGCTTGAGGCTCAGTGCCCTGTGCTTCACAGCTCTGTCATGGAGGGCACGACTCACGAGGACCTGTCTGAGTTGCTGCCTCCACTCACTCCACCACACCCTGTCAGAGAGCAAATATATACTAAGTAAGTTCGTCAATTATATATAAATACCTCCCATAGACTTAAGTAGAACTGCATGCTAAGTCGGCATTTAAAAACATTTATTGAGGGGCCAGCAGGTGGCATGGTGATTAAGGGCACTGGAGTTCCACAGGCTGACCACAGTTTGAGACCTGGACCAGGTGGCTTGCTTTCTCACTTTCCCTCTCTTTCTCTCTCACTCTGTCCCTCTCTGGTCAAATGAAAATAAATAAATAAGGTTAAATAAAAATAATCCTAAAAAAAACCTTGTTGAATAAATTTTAAATAACTATTTTTGTTTAGATAACTTCTTTACATCCACTGATGTTCTGGACATGCTAAATAATTCACGGATATTACCTTATTTATTCCTAATGACAACTCTGAAAGGTTGCTTAACAATGTGACTATTTCGCAGATGAGGAAAGGGAGACATGGAGAGGTAAAATGATCCAATGATACGTGTCAGGACAGGGATTCAAACCCAAGTCAGAGGGGCTGCAAGGTCTCTGCTCTTTTGGGAAGGAACCGAGCTTTGGATGTACTGCTACCTGGGACGCTGGAGGAACGGGAGAGAAAACATTCAGGGGAGTTGGTCCCACTATGAAAGAGCTCGCAGGAATGTGTGTCTGGCTCTGAGTGGACTATTTCATATCCCACCAATATGTTCAGAAAGCCACCGAGAAGACAGAACAGAGGTTAGATGAGCCCTAGGTTTGCCAAGTACTCCTTCTATGAGCTCAAGCAAGTTCCTGAAGCTTTACTGTGCCTTACTGTATATCTTTTTAAAAAAATAATGAAAGAATTGGGAACAGCAATTGGTGTAATGGATATGTCGCTGGACTCCCATGTAGTCAACTGCAGTTAGAGTCCCGGACCTAGTGGCTTAAACTCACACCTGGTGCATGTACGTGTGTGCCCAAGAGCCCAAGAGGAGAATGGAGGAGAAGGGATTGTGATGTGGCCATCCCCCCTGGGGGGGTGATTTCTCACTTTCTGTCTCTGTGTTTCTCTCTGTCTTTTTGGCGAGCACATGTGCCCTACAGCAAAAACCTCTCCAAAATAATAATAATAATAATAATAATAATAATAATGAAAGAATCCATTTTTAAATTTTAATTTGCCAGAGGCTACATAAGACTATATGTCTTGATCTGTATATAACAACAGCATTTATGTTATAGTTCATGGTGAGGATTAAATGAAATACTTTACACTAAAAAGTTAGCATGTGCACACACACACACACAAACACTTAAACCAGGATTAGAACAAAGTAAACAATTAGTGTTAATTATGATTATGTGAATACGATCTTACAGTTGAATAAGTCATTGATAACTATTTCTTTTTTTTTTTTTTTCTCTTTTTGGAGAGGTTTTTGCTATAGGGCGTGTATGCTCGCCAGACAGAGAGAGACAGAGAGATAGAAAGCGAGAAATCACCCCCCAGGGGGGACGGCCACGCCGCAATCCCTTCTCCTCCATTCTCCTCTCGGGATCTTGGGCACGCATGCACACACGCCCGGCGTGAGTTTAAGCCACCGGGTCCAGGACGCGAACCGTGGTCGACTACATGGGAGTCCAGCGACATAGCCATTACGCTAACTGCTGGTCCTGATAACTATTTCTTAGGCATCAACTAGAAACATAGTTTGTTCATTTATTTATTTATTTATTTAAATTTTTTTAATTGTCAAGGAGAGGGTAGAGGAAGCGCCTCCAAGAAAGTATGGTCACAGTGCAATATATTCTCCTACATTTCTTGAATCCTGACAGATGTTTCTTGCATGTGCCTGGTATATTTTTTCAGGCTGACAGGCTAGGATTTGACCAACGGTTAGCCATGTGGGATTCAGTTCCCTTAACCACTAGGCTATCAGACTAGCCTTGAAATACTGATTTTTGCTTTTTGTTTTAAGGTTTTTGTCATAGGGCTCATGTATTCACCAGAGAGAGAGGGGTAGAGACAGTGAGAGGAAAAGAAATATATCACCCGCCCCCAGGGGGATGGCCACATCACAATCACTTCTTCTTTCTTCTCTTTCTGGGATTCTGGGTATGCGTGCACACAAGCCCAGCATGATTTTCAAACCACCAGGTATGGGACTCGAACTGTGGTCAGCCATGTGGGAGTCCAGCTCCTTAACCAGTATGGTACCTACTGGCTCCCAAACATTGTTTTAAGGTGAGTTAAAGCAGCATAAACCTGCTGAGGTACAATGGTGACTGCTGCTCTGCACGGCAGCTGAGTGCACATACCGTAAGATACTTTGCTGCCGGAACTCCGCAGCAGTGGTCTGCATCTGAAGTTTGGTCCTACGAACAATCACGTAGATTACCCAGGACTTCCAGGCCTGACGCATCTTTTGCTTTACATCTAGAACCACAAAAGAGATTTTTAAAAAAGGAGTCAGGGGAAATGGATTCCTCTGAGATATGATAAAAGCTCAAGAGCTCTCTGTGCTTATCCTTTCTTAGACTATCTAAATCCTTACAGCCTTTCAGTGCCCTCTGCTGGAAAAATTGTGAAGCACTGCAAAATTAAATAAGGATACACTTATAGGATGTGAAATTTTACTTAATGGCATTTACAAAGCACTTTAATAAAAACTGATGTACTGGACTGTTCAGAAATCCTTTGCGTTAGGGTTGGCAGGTGGTGTGGTGGGTTAGAGTCCCGGCCCTGGCAGATTGCTATCTCACTTTCTGTGCTTCTCTTTCTCTCTCACTCTGTCCCTCTTTGGTCAAATTAAAATAAGTAAATAAATTTAAATAAAGTAATTCTTTAAAAAAAAGAAATCCTTTGCTTTAAAATATCTTTTTTAAATAGATATATGCTACAATATTTACAGGTGGAATAATGTGAATCGACAAGCAGCAGAGAAGTGAGTGGGTATGGATGTGACAAGATTGGCCTGAGCAGGTAATCACTGAAGCTGGGTGATGGGTACATGGAAGTTCACTATTCTCTCTTTCGATTTGGTAGATATTTTTAGGTTTCCATAGTATAAATAAGAAGATAGCATGTCATACAACTTGCTGTTTGAAACAATAATCCTGAAGGAGAAGAAGCAAGACAAAAGGAAGGAATGTATCTGTTAGGAAACAGAAGAAAAAGGACCAGAAACCATCCTGAAGGAAAGGCTATTATGAGAAAGGAGAAGTTTCCCTTTGTGGTCAATTCCATTTACATCATGAAAGTCACTGTTAGTGAAATGGAGTTCTTTTCTTCTTAGTGCACAAAGGGGAAAATGAAACTATGTAAACTGCTTTTACAATATTGTCTAAGATGTGGTCACTAGGACTAGGGCTTCACCTTTCATGGCTATTGACAAAACACATCAAAATAGGAAGGACAGGGGCCAAGGGCTGGACAGTGGCACAGCAGTAAAACACAAGGCTCTTGAGGCAGCCCTGCATGAGAAAGTTCCTGGTTCAAATCTAGAGACCTCCCAAAGTACGTTGGGATGTGCATCCCCTTAATCTGGGGCTGGCTAAAGGCTGGGGATGAATCACAACATCAAGACCCTGTTGGAGGTGCTATGTGTCTATCTGTCTATCTGTCTCAGACACTGGAGAAAAAATAATATAGTATTTTAAAATATGAAGGCGAATTTAACATGTAGCTCTCTTGGGGCCTACCCTGGACCTCAGAATTCAGCATACCTTGGATGACAAGGCATGGTGCTGTGATCTGGTGTTTGGGACCCTGAGTAAAACGATGGATTTGAATACTGACCCTTTCACTTACTAGCTAAGTCACCTCTCACAAGTTCCTCACCTGTGAAATGGTGCCTTCCTTAGAGGTATGACTACAAAGCGTAAATGACATTATCTGTGTATAATGTATAATGTCTTCAATAAATGCTAGCTTTTTTTCTTTTTTTTGAGCATGGAACTCAGGAACCTACATTAACTATGGTTGCCACAATTCTGATACACATGACAATTTGAGAACTGTGTTTTCCTAAGGTCTGAAATACATTCAGACATTGTTTAAACAGTGGAAGAGTGGGGGCCGATAGGTGGTGTGGTGGTTAAGGCACTGGACTCACATGTGGCCCACCATGGTTCAAGTCTCGGACATGGCGGTTTACTTTCTCACTTTCCTTCCCTCCTTCTATCTCTCTTCTCACTTTCTCTCTCTCTCTCTGACTCTCTCTGGTCAAAATAAAAATAAATGAATGAATAAATAAAATTAAATAAAATAATTCTTTAAAAAATAATTAAGTAATTTTTTTAAAAAAAGAAAAAAACTACAAGAAGAAGACAAAACTAAAACCAAAATCTGCACTGGACTCCCACATGGCCGATCATGGTTCAAGTCCTGGACGTGGAAGCTTCCTTTCTTACTTTTTCTCTCTTTCTCTCTGGTAAGTACTTGTGCCCTATAGTAAATTAAAAAACTAATAATAGGGACCAGCAGATGGTCTAATGGTTACGTTGCCGGTCTCCCACGCAGGTGACCACAGTTCATGTCCTGGACACAGCAGCTTCAAACTTAGGCCAGGCGCTTGTGCGTGCATACCCAAAATCCTAAGAGGAGAATGGAGGAGGAGAAGAGACTGCAGCATGGGGGGTACTTTCTCCCTTTCTGTCTCTTTGTCTCTCTGGCAAGTGCTCGAACCCTATAGCAAAAGTCTCTCCCTAAAAATTAGAAATACTTCCAATCCCTTCTATAAGAGCAATATTACCCTGAACCAAACCAAGCAAAGGCATTACAACAGAAAACTACTGACCAATATCCTTATGAATACAGATCCAAAAATTCTCAACAAAATATTAGCTAACCGAACCAGCAATATACAAAGTGGCATTAATCCCAGGAATGTTAAAACTTGAAATCTGAAAATCACTCTGTATAATTCACCATGGTAACTCAACTCACAGAGAGACCAAACGTCCACAAAAGTGAAACTGGCGCCAGGAGCACTAAGGGACAACCTGGACATGGCAGATCAGAAAGGAGCACTCAGCTCTGCTCTACAGACAGCAGCCCCAGGTGCAGGGCTGAGACAGCCTGCACACGGCACCCGTGGGCCTGGGCAGCCAGTGCACAAACGTCGTGGTTACGTGAACTTTAAGTGTCAAAACCACAAGGAGAAAAACAGAGATCTGAGCATACAGGACTCCCTACCCGGACATCACACATTCTGAAACAAAGGAAAGGGACTCAAACCCATCTTCCCCTTGGCCCAGGGTTATTCTCTCAGACACAATGTGCTTTTGGTTGAGCTTCTCTGAAAGTAAATCTGGGTGATTTCCTTAGACATGTACTTCCTCTTCTCACCATGATCCTTGGCTCTTATGAACTTGTTCCTCATCTCCTGCTGCTGCTGCATGTAGGCCTTCCAGTTCTGGAACATCAGGTTATACAAGTAATATCTGAGGAACCAAAACAGCAAATGGCATTTCTTTAAAACAGAATGACTCCTAATCCAACACACCCAGTCCCTTCTGTACTCAGGAGAAGTTAACATGGAAGTGCTTGTCATAAAAAAGCCATATATGCACCGAAGCTAAAATTTCACTTCCTCAAGCTAGCTCTGTAGCCTCATGGTTAAGAGAGCCGGAACCCAGGGCCAGCAGATGGTAATAGTGGTTACGTTCAATGGACTCCCACATGGCCAACCACAGTTTGAGTCCAGGACCTGGTGGCTTAAAATTCATGCCTGGCACGCATGCATGCAAGTCCAAGATCATGAGAAGAGAATGGAGGAGAAGGTATCGCAGTGTGGCCATCCCTACTAGGGAGTGATTTCTCACTTTCCCTCTCACTGTCTCTGTCCCTCTCTCTCCATCAAGTACACACACCCTTAGGCAAAAAAACTCTTAAAAAAGGGGCCAGCAGGTGGCATGGTGGTTAAGGTGCTGGACAATCCCACATAGCCAACCACAGTTTGAGTCTTGGACCTGGTGGGCTTGCTTTCTTACTCTCCATTTCTCTCTGTGTCTCTCTCTGGTCAAATTAAATGAATTAATGAATAAATGAAACAAAAAAAAAAAAACTCTTAAAAAATAGGGCGACTGGCAGGTGGTGGGGTGGTTAAGGGTGCTGGACTCCCACATGGCTGACCACAGTTTGAGTCCCAGACCCAGTGGCTCACTTTCTCACTTTCCCCCTCTCTCTTTCTCTCTCACTCTTTCTCACTTTGTCCCTCTCTGGTCAAAATAAAAATAAATAACAAATAAATAAGTAAAGTTAAATAAAACAATTCTTTAAAAAAAAGAATTTTAAAGAATTGTTTTATTTAACCTTTATTTATTTACTTAAATTTAACCAGAGAGGAACAGAGTGAGAGAGAGAAGGAAAGTGAGAAAGCAAGTCGCCAGGTCTGGGACTCAAACTGCTGTCAGCCATGTGGGAGTCCAGCGCCCTTAACCACCATACCACCTGCTGGCCAAAAATAAAATAATTCTTAAAAAAAAAAAAAAAGAGCGAGAGCGCCAGGCCCCAACAGGCCAACTGTGGCTAGAATCCTAGCCCCAGCAGCTTGAGAAACACAGCAGGCACATGTGCATGCGTGTGTGCTCAAAATCCCAACAGGATGGAGGAATAGAAAAGAAGAGAATGGAGCGTGACCACACACTGTTTGCGGGCACTTTTTCTGTCTCTCGTAAACATTCAGTGTCCTCCAACAATTAAAAATAATTTAATTCCGGGACCAGCAGAGTCCAAGAGCAGAAAGAAGAAGGTATTGTAGTGGTGCCATCCTCCCTGGGGAGTGTTTCGTCGCTTTCTGTCTCTCTCTTTCTGGTGAGTGCATGCACCCTATACCAAAAACCTGTCCAAAAAAAAAAATCCTGAGGGAACTGGAGAAGAGACTACATATGGCCATCCAACCATGGGGACAATTTCTCTCTCTCTCTACCTCTCTCTGGTGAACACACATGCCCTATAGCAACATCTAAAAATAAACAAACAAAAACCGATGTATTATTTTTAAAAAACAGAACATTCTGGGACCAGCAGGTGGCGTAATGGTTACAATGCTAGACTCCCACGTAGTTGACTGCAGTTCAAGTTCCGGACCTGGCAGCTTAAAACTCAGGCTGGGCACATGTGCGAGTGTACCCAAGATCCTGAGAGGAGAACAGAGGAGAAGGGACTGCAGTTTGGCCATCCCCCATGGGGGGTGATTTCTAGCTTTCTAACTCTCCAGTGAACCCATGTGCCCTATAGCAAAAATCTCTCTCTAAAAAAAATAAATAAATAAAACAACCAGAATGTTTTCAGAATTAGAAATTATACATATATGAGAATCAGGGAGAAAACCCCGTTCTGATCATCAGCATGACCAACACAACAGTTTCTTAAATCAGAAAGGAGTGTGTGTACACAACATGTGTGTGCACACTAGGTTTCATTTAGAAATTCAATCGTGTTTATTGTATAAGGATTTGAAGGAAAAAAAAGACACAAAACTTTGCTCCTTTGGACCAGGAACATGCTACTGAGCAATTACTTAGAGTGTATAAAATGTATATTGATGATGTGTAAAACTCTTGTCACGTGACACAAAATCTGACCTGTAGTGACAGTCGGCTCGGACACAGAGCTTCCACTCTCGACGAGAAATCCACCATTCTTCTTCCCATTCTTCAAAGACCTTCCGTAGTATTCTCTGTTCATAGTACAACCTACGGAGATGGGGGAAAAGTCAGGTTGTCTAGTGGTTAAGGGAGCCACATCTCACACAGTCAACTACAATTTCAGTCCTGGCCCCAGGAGCTTGAAAAAACAAAACAAAACAATATCACACCAGGTACATGTGCACATGTGCCCCAAATTCTGACAAGATGGAGGAAAAGGGATTGTGGTGTGATCAATGCCCCTTTGGAGTGTATTTTCTCCCTCTCCCTGGCAAGTCCAAGTATTACCCTCTGACAATAATAATAATAATAATAATAATAATAATAATAATAATAATATCAGAGTGGGCTAGCCCATAGCCTGCTAGTTGAAGGAAGCAGAAATCCACATGGCTGACTACAGTTCAAATCCACATGGTACCTTAAAAATGACTGCGGGTGTGGGCCAGCAGGTGGTGTTGTGATTAAGGGCGCTGGACTCCCACATGGCTGACTGCAGTTCGACCTGGCAGCTTGCTTTCTCACTTTCTCTCTCTCTCTCTGTTCCTCATTGGTCAAGTTAATATAAATAATTCAAATAAGTAAAGTTAAATAAAATCATTAAAAAAAAGACTCTGGGTGTGCATGTATATGTGTGCCAAATCACAACAGGATGGAGCAATGAAGAAGGGATTGTGGTGTGACCCCATGCCCCTTGGGCAGCAATTTCTTTTTTTTTTTTTTTTTAACAAGTGCATGTGCCCTCTGGCAATTGAAAAAATTTAAAATTAAAAAAATTGGGGCTGGCAGGTGGTGTGGTAATTAAGAGTGCTGGATTCCCACATGGCAGATCATAGTTAAAGTCCTGGACCTACTGGCTTGCTTTCTCTCTCTCTCTCTCTCTCTCTCTCTCTCTCTCTCTATCTCTATCTCTATCTCTCTATCTCACTCTGTCCCTCTTTGGTTCAATTTAAATGAATAAATAAACAAATAAACATATAAAGTTAAATAAAATAATTATTTAAAAAAATTTTAAAAAGAGACGGGTTACAGCAATTCAGTCAATGCCACGCAGTCATTTTTTAAAAATGAATGAAGTAAAGCTAAGGGTACTGAGATGCCCCAGAAAAGTTGTTAGGTGAAAAACAGAGTTGCTATGTGGTATGAATAATATGATTTTTAATTAATATTTTTATGTATTTTTTTTCGAGGGAGATTTTTGCTATAGGGTGTGTGTGCTCGCCAGAGAGACAGAAAGCAAGAAATCTCTCTCTCCAGGGGAGTATGGCCATGCCACAATCCCTTCTTTTCCATTCTCTTCTTGGGACTTTGGGCATACATACACATATGCCCGGCATGAATTTCAAGCCTCCAGGTCCAGGACTCGAACTGAAGTCAGCCATGTGGGAGTCCAGTCAGGTAACCATTATGCCATATGCTGATCCCAATATTTTTATGTATTTCCAGCACCCATAGATTATAGCAATATAACAGAAATCAAGTATATACACACATACATGCATATTTGTACATACACATAAAAACATACATATGATCACATGTATGTGTATATAAAGATGGTTATATTACACATATTAAAAGCCCAGAAAGAGTTCTAAAATAGAGCTGACCTGTAACCCAGGGTTAAGCCCTGTACTTAAGCAGCCAGATCCCACATGGCCAACTAAGATTTGAATCCCAGCCCTAGCAGGATTCAAGCTTGAAAAACACTAGGCATGTGCCTGTGTCCAAAACCCTGACAGGATGGAAAAATGGACTGTAGCATGACTATGTTACACTGGAAAGTGTTCTCTCTCTGGACCATCAAGTGGCATGGTGGTTAAGGTGCTGGATGCTACCACATGGCCGACCATGGTTCTAGTCCTGGACCTGGCAGCTTGCTTTCTCACTTTCCCTCTCTTTCTCTCTCTCTCTGGTCAAATTAAAATAAGTGAATGAACGAATAAAATTAAATAAGTAGTTATTAAAAAAAGAAAAGAGGGACCAGCAGTTGGTGTAATGGCTATGTTGCTGGACTCCCATGTAGTTGACCGCAGTTCGAGTCCCAGATCCAGTGGCTTAAACTTACGCCGGGTGCATGTGAGTGTATGTCTAAGATCCCGAGAGGAGGATGAAGAAGAAGGGATTGTGGTGCAGCCATCCCCTCTGGGGGGTGATTTCTCACTTTCTGTCTCTCTCTTTCTTATGAGTGCATGCAACCTCTTCAAAAAAAAAAAGTTTTCCCTCTCTCTCCCGTACATGTCCCCTAGCAATTAGCAAAAAAAAAAAAAAAAAAAAGAGGTCAACACCAAACTACTATCAGTAGTTCTCTCTCAGGGAGGAATTATTAGAGGCTGGAATTTTCTAAATTATACAATTGTATAATGTTTGGGATTTTCGTAAATGATAGATTTGTTAATAATTTCTAAAAATTTCAATAGGAAAGAAAGATTTACACTTGGTCAAATAAACATATCTATCTCCTATCTCTTCCCCCAACCCTAATGAAATGGCAAATCCATTTACAAAGGCCTAAGACCACAAAGACCACAGGAGAGAGGATGCCAGATGGACCAGAGGTGCCACAAATGTTAGGAAGTGTGAACAGGCAGGCAAAAGGCAGCAGAGTCTCCAGACTGGAGGAATCAGAGAACTCAGTGTCCTGTGGTAAGGAGTCAAGAAGCAACCAGCTGGTGGCACAGACTCCAGGAAAGCGTGGGAATGTGAGGAAGCAGGGAGCCCTGAGAGGAGGTGCAAACGCAGGACAGTTTGCAAGCTTGTGTATCAGAAGCAGTTAGGCCCCTGGATCCTGTTTCTGACCGAGTCAGAGAGAGAGTCTGGTTTATGTCTGGAGAGGCTGGACTGGAGGTGCACTGGACTCTAGAATTCTAAGCAACTTTTGAATAGGGTATCAAATTAGTCAACAGTTAGATCCAAGTTCCTTTTCCTCTGCTTACAGCCAAGCTTATAACCACCACCTCCTGCCTCAACCCCACCCAACCCAGGAGAAGTTTGGAAGGTTTTCCTCTCCTCTGGCGAAAAGTGATCTACCCAAAGGAAAAAGTTTTCAGAGATGTGAATATGTGGAGGTTCCTAATGAAACCACCTGGTCTCTGTCCCAAAGCCTATAGTAAAATTCCCAATTTATAAGTCCCCATGAATACATATCAAAGCATTTAAAATTAGCTTTTAAAGTTAGTCCATGGCCTGTGATTAAGGCGGCTGGATCCCACATGGCTCACTACTGGATTTGAGTCCCGGACTAATAGAAAAACATGCTGGGTGAATGTATATACATGCCCCAAATCCCAAGAGAAATGGAGAAGGGATTGCAGCTTGACCATGTCCCATGAGGAATACTTTCTACTCTTGGCTCTCTCTCTCTCTCTTCCTATCCCTCTCTGGTGAGCACATGTACCATCTGGCAAAAGTTTAAGGTTTTTTTTTGTTGTTGTTGTTTTTTAAATAAAAATTAGTTTTTAGGGGTCAGCTGGTGGTGTGGTGGTTTAAGCAGCTTGATCCCACATGGCCCACTGCGTGGTTCAAGTTCCAAACCCAGCAGCTTGAAAAACATGCTAGGTGTGTGTGGGCATGTATGTCCCAAATCCTGAGAGGAGCATGAAGGGATCATGGTGTGACCATCTCCTGGGGGGTGTGCTTTCTAAATTTCCCTCTCTCTCTCTGTCTTTCTCAGGAGGAAGAGAGAGACAAAAACTCTTTTTCAGTTTTATTTTTATTTATTTATTTTAGGAGAGGTTTTTGCTATAGGGTGCATGCCCTTGCCAGAAAGACAGAGAGAGACAGAGACAGAAAGGAGAAATCATCCCTCAGAGGGATGGCCACACTGCAATCCCTTCTCCTCCATTCTCCTCTTGGGATCTTGGGCATGAACTCACACGCCCCCGGCGTGAGTTTAAGCCACCGGGTCCGGGACTCGAACCACGGTCAACTACGTGGGAGTCCAGCGACATAGCCATTATGCTAACTGCTGGTCCCTCAGTTTTATTTTTTTTCATTTTTGGCTTTTTGCTATTGGGCGCGTACGCTCACCAGAGAGACAGAGAGACAGAAAGCGAGAAATCACTCCCACAGGAGGATAACCACTCCACAGTCCCTTCTCCATTATTCTCCTCTCAGGAGTTTGGGCATGCACGCACATATACCTGGTGTGAGTTTTAAGCCAGGTCTGGGACTCAAACTGCGATTGAGAGAGCATACGCACCTGATAGCGAAAATCTCTCTAAAAAAAAAACAAACAGTGAATTATTTTCAACTGCTAACTTGGACTTTTATACCCAGTGAAAATACACCAAACTAAAAAACAAAAAAATACATTGTAATAAAAGCTTATAACTAGGGAAGGGACTAGCACAATTAAAGTTAAATGACTTCGTCTTTTCTGGAAAGAGGTTAGAGGACCAATTCACATTAGACTCTGAGTAAGTTACTGATATATATAATATTCTTGTTTTAAAGAGTTATTTTATTTAATTTTATTTATTCATTTATTTATTTTAATTTGACTAGAGAGAGACAGAGAGAGAGCAGGAAAGTGAGAAAGCAAGTCACCAGGTCTAGGACTCAAACCATGGTTGGCTATGTGGGAGTATCCAGCATTTTAACCATGCCACTTGCTGGTCCCTATTCTTTTTCTTCTTCTTCTTTTTAAGAATTATTCATTTATTTATTTAATTCCATTTCTTCTTATTTTTTCAATGTCACCAGAGAGAGACAAAGAAAGAGAGAAAGGAAAAGCGAGAAAGCAAGTCGCCAAGTCTGGGATTCAAACCACGATCCACCATGTGGGAATCCAGCACCTTTAACCACCATGCCACCTGCCAACCCCATCTTTTTTTTTTTTCTTTAAGGTTTTTGCCATAGGGTATGTGTACTCACTTGAGAGACAAAGAGCAGGGAAGTGAGAAATCACCCTCCAGGGGGAATGGCCACAGTGCAATCCCTTCCCCTCCAGTCTCCTCTTTGTATTTAGGGCAGGAACACACATGCACCCAGCATGATTTTCAAGTCACCAAGTCTAGAACTTGAACTGAGGTTGGCCATGTGAGAGTCCAGCATCTTTTTCCTTTTTTTTTTTTCCCTAAAATTTATTTATTTATTTGTTTGTTGTGGTTTTCTTCTTTCCATCTTTCTATCTATCTATTTATTTATTTATGCCAGAGAAGAACACAGTCTGTCTGAGAGAGAGAGAGAAAGAGAAAGCACCCAGGTCCAGGACTCGAACCATGGTTGGCCATATGGGAGTCCAATGCCCCCAACCACCACGTCACCTGTCGGCCCCTATTTGTTGTGACTTTCAAGGTGCCAGACCTGGAACTTGAGCCGCTGTCAGACGTGCGGGAATTTAGCACCTTAACCACTGCACCACCTGCTGGCCCCTCGGGTGCTTTTTTATTTCCCTCCTTTTTCTCTCTGGTAAGCGCACACATCCTGTAGCAAATAAAAAAAAAAAAAAAAGAATTGGGCCAGCAAATGAAGTGATGGTTGAGGCACTAAACGCCCACATGGCTGACCACAATTCTAGTCCTGGACCTGGGGACTTGCTTTCTTGCTTTCTCTCTCTTTGGTGAGTGCATGTGTACAATAGCAAATTTTAGAAAATAATACAATTTTAAAAATCATTCCCATTGACAAATGTTGATATTTCCCCAAGTTCCGTCCTAGATCAAGGCATTTGTCAGATTGGCCAGTGCCTTGACAAAGTTCACTGACTCCTCTGGGGTAAATCCTTTTCTCCCAAAGATCTTATCTGTTCCGGTTTACTTAAATGTGACTCCTTCATCCATTGATTCAGTCAACTAATATCTACAAAGCTATAATTGTGTTTTTTAAAAGAATCATTTGATTTTACTTATTACTGTTATTAGTACTTTAATTCACCAGAGAGAGAGAGAAAGTGAGAAAGCAAATCATGTCCGGTACTCAAACCATGGTTGGCCATGTAGGAGTCTAGCACTTCAACCAACATACCATATGCTAGCCTCCACTACCATTGTACTACATGATTATATTAAGTTCGTGCCAGATGGAGGAGGAACGTAAAAACATATGCCTAATACCGCCGCCCCTGCAAAGGAATAGTATGGACTCAGCAGAATATGGTGTTCTGTACTAATACTACCTGGCTTTAGAGGGAAGTACTCTTCCAAAAGTCATTCGAATCCACAAATACAAGAACTTTCTAGCCAGGCATCTGAAAGAAGAAAAGAAAGGATAAACACATTTTTTAAAAAATGATTTATTTCACTTTATTGACTCATTCTCTTATTTAATTTGACCAGAGAGAGACACACACAGAGAGAGGGAAAGTGAGAAAGCGACCTGCCATGTCCAGGATTTGAACAGTGGTCGGCCATGTGGGAGTATCCAGCACCTTAACCACCACGCCACCTGCTGGTCCCCTAGGATAAACACATTTTAAAACTCCATTTGGCTTATACAATCAGTTTTCTGGAAAGGAGAGGGAACCTTTAAGGTCACAGGGAAAGGGATATTAGTAAAAAGGGTGATGTCACAGTTAAGCTTGCATCAAACAGAGCATAGGCTGGGACTGATTATAAAGCTATAGTCAAGCAGATTATTTTTTAAAAAAGCTTTCTATACAGAGTATTTTGTCAAAGAGATACACTTGAGAGTTCAGGTAAGAGAAGTACGTGATATTCTTCTACCTGGCTAAAATGCCTGGTAAATGCTTACTTATCGTGGGTCTTCCCCAACCCAAACAGAGTGAGCAGCGTTGTGCTCTCAGCACTCTGTGCAAACTCTCAGTGCAACATTATGACACCCTATCACTATGACCTAATGGATGTCAAGCCGACCTGACCTTTAACTCTCATGAGGTCATGGACTGAGAATGACTCACCTGCCTTGTATCGGTGTCTGGCAATATACCTAGCAGAGTAGATATCTATTAAATTTTTTTTTGAGAGGTTTTTGCTATAGGGTGCGTGCACTCGCCAGACAGACAGAGAGAGACATAGAGACAGAAAGCAAGAAATCACCCCCCAGGGGGGATGGCCACGCTGCAATCCCTTCTCCTCCATTCTCTTCTCGGGATCTTGGGCACGCACGCACACATGCCCGGCGTGAGTTTTTAAGCCACCGGGTCTGGGACGCGACCCATGGTTGACTACGTGGGAGTCCAGCGACATAGCCATTATGCCAACTGCTAGTCCCCATTAATTCATTTAATAATTAATAGAGGGTATTCAACCACAGTTCAAGTCCTGAATCCAAAAAAAGAATTAATGAATGCCTTTGGTGTATTTCATCAAGAGTAGCAAAAATGATCACTTTTCATGAACCATGTTTAGACATGTTTTTGGAAGAATCGTTATAGTTTACATATTGTGGGGCACAACTAGAGAACATGAATGAAAACCGAGATTTTATGGATGCAGATGCCTGAACTTTCTTTGCTTCTGAATATTCCATAACAAAGGGCAGGCAGCGTGGTCTCCAACTATTTGAGAAAAGAAAATAAGAATCATTCCCAGGGCCAGCAGGTGACTTGGTGGTTAAGGGCACTGAACTCCCACATGGCTGACTGTGGTTTGAGCCCAGGATCTGGTGGCTTGCTTTCTCTCTCTCTCTCACTCTGTCCCTCACTGGTCACATTAAAATAAATAAAGTTAAATAAAATAATTCTTTAAAAATTTTAAAAAAAGAATCATTCCTTCTTTTTAACCAAAAAGGGAGGATAAGGAAAAGGCCCCTGTAGGCAGGTGATGACTAGTATACCCACCTAACACGCAATTCTCTTAACCGGCCCCTTCGGGTCCAAGTGTGTGAGACATGATGCTGCACTGGATGGCTGGCAGGAGGCAGCTCCTTACAGATTGCAGAGAAGGCAGTAGACTTCTTGTTAGGCTGCACCATTGAAGAGTAAGGTTTCTTAACTGTACCATCCCTAAAAGACCTGACATTTGAGGAGCAAAGAGGAAAGGAGAGAATTAAAATGATCTCTACATGTGATACAAATGCCTTTTAACATGTCAGCAAAGTTACATAGACAAGCTTAATGACACAAATAATTACTATGCTTGAAGGAAAAGTAGCCCAGCCTCTGACAGGACTATCTGCCAGCTACTAATAAAGTTGACATCCAGCTTTCTCTCTCTCCTTACCTCCCTCCTCTCTCTCTCCCTCCTGCCATATACACACACACACATACACACACACATACTATTCTCATTATTTGCAATAGTTACATTCTATAAAGTCACCATAAACACTTAAATCATTGTTCCTAGGTTCATGTGAGCTATGAAAACATTTTAATTGGCTGATCCAAACCTAACCTCATTCTGTGTATACTTCTATTGAAAGACAACTTAACACACACAAGTGATTCATTAATATTAAACTTCTGGTGAACAGTACTGTAGCTCATGCCTAAACAAAGCTTATCTGACACACATATGTTCCCCATAAAGTATGTAATAGTCTCTTTTTTGTTTGTTTGTTTGTTTGTTTGTTCTTTTAGAGATTTTTGCTATAGGGCGTGTGTGCTCGCCAAAGAGACAGAGAAAGACAAAGAGACAGAAAGCGAGAAATCACCCTCTTGGGGGAAATGACCATGTAGCAATCCCTTCTCCTCCATATTCCTCTCAGGATTCTGGATATGCACATGCATGCACCTGGCGTGAGGTATAAGCCACTGGGTCCAGGACTTGAACCGCAGTCAACTATGTGGAAGTCCAGTGACATAACCATTACACCAACTGCTAGTCCCCATAACAGCCTTCTTACACCTAGAAATACGAGACAGCACTTAAGCAGTACACTTAGAAGATATAGTTTGAGCAACTGAAGCTTGAAAATCATGCCAGGTGTATGTGCGTGTGTGCCCAGAATCTGGAAGGAAGGGGGATTATGGCAGGCCGTGTTGCACTTAAGGTAGGCATTCCCTCTCTTGCAAGTGCGTGCATTCTATGGCAATTAAAAAAAAATTAGAAAAAGGAAGCAAGACAGTGGTGTAGTGGTAATTCAACCAGACTTGACGTGGAAAAAGTTCTGAGTTCATATCCTGGGACCATCCTGAGCATGCGAGGTACATGCATGCCCATTATCCAGGTTGGTCGAGACTAGGAGTGTATGGTAGCATGAAGACCCTTTTGGAAGTGCCTGTTTGTCTCTATTTCTGTGTGTCTCTCTGTCACAGAAATAAACTTCTTAAAAATTTTTAGAAAAAGAACTGCAAATTCAACCCAAAGAATGTAACAGAGAATAATAAAGAGCAGAAATTAATTTGATGATGTGTGTAAGGAACCCCTAAGACCACCCCAGTTTCAGTGACTTACTAACTAGAAGGACACAGGACACAGTGTAGAGCTGTGCTAATGACTACCATTCACTACAGCGCATGGACACATGCAAAACCACCACAGGGAAAAGGAGCACGGGGCAAGGTCTGCTGGAACTCAGGTGTGAGCTTCCAAGGGTCTTCTCTGACTTCTGTCACCTAGGATATGTTTAATTCTTCCAGCACTGAATTCACAGCACATGTGAAGTGTTGTCAAGGAAGCTTACTATACACTTAGTACCCAAAGTCTTTTTTGGGGGGGGTGGGGGTACTGGTCATAAAAGCACCTTCTGCCTACTGCATACCAAAATTCCAGACTCCCAGAAGGAAAACAAATTCTGCATAAACAATGCCATTTGCACAAATAATACAAGCATAATGAACTACATTTAGTGAAGGAAGTGAGATGCTTAACAAAACCCGTTTCCAGACACCAGCCAAGAGCCAACCTGGAGAATAGAACTTCCTGAGAATAGTTGTCTCAGGCCTGCTATGTTCTAGTTGTCTCAGACCTACTATGTTCTTTTCTGCACAACCAAAAAACAGAATTAAGAAGGTGAAGGCCAAGAGTTGGTTATTTAGAGGCAAAAGTTGACATCCAGTGAAACTGATCAAGAAGAGAGGAACCAGCAGATAGTAAAATGGTTACATCGCGGGACTCCTACGTTGTCAACTACGGTTCAAGTCTTAGACCCAGTGGCTTAAAACTCAATGCCAGGCATGTGTAAATGCATTTCCAAGATCCTGAGAGGAGAATGGAGGAGAAGGGATTGTGGCATGGCCATCCCTCTGGGTTAATTTCCGATTTTCTGTCTCTGTCTCTCCAGCAAGTACACGTGCTCTAAAGCAAAAATTTCTCTCTCTAAAAAAAAAAAAAAAGAAAAGAAAAAAGTGAGAGAGAGAGAGAGACCCAAAAACATATAGCTGACTAAGTTTTTAGAGGTTTTTGCTATAGGGCACATGCACTCACCCAAAAGAGAGAGAGAGACAGAGAAACAGAAAGCAAGAAATCACCCCCCAGAGGGGATGGCCATGCTGTAATCCCTTCTCCTCCATTCTCCTCTCGGGATCTTGGGCACGCACGCACACACGCCCAGTGTGAGTTTAAGGCACTGGGTCCAGGACTCGAACCGTGGTTGACTACATGGGATTCCAATGACATAGCCATTATGCTAACTGCTGGTCCCCAGTTGACTAATTTTTGACAAAGGGTACTAGTCAATCCAGTGGGAAAAGGAAAACCTCTTCAGCAAATGGTGCTGGAAAAACTGGGTATCTACCTACAGAGAGATGAATCTGGACCCCTATCTCTCACCATTGACAAAAGTCAACTCAAAGCGGATCAAAGATCTAAACCTAAGATCTCAAATTTTAAAACTACTGGTGCAAAACACTGGAGAAACTTTAGGAGACACTGGGGTAGACAAAGACTTCTTAAATAAGACCCCCAAAGCACAGGCAATAATCTCAAAAATAGACAAGTGGGGTTACATCAGAGTAAGAAGTTTCTGCACAGCAAAAGACACAATATTTAGTGTGAATTGACAACCCTCAGAATGGGAGAATATTTTTGCAAACTACACCAAGATAAGGGACTGATAACCAGAATACACAGGGAACTCAAGCGGCTTACCCAGAAAAAAAAAAGACTAACCCAATTAAAAGATGGGACAAGCTAAATAAACAACAAAGGAAGACATATGAATAGCCAAAATACATATGAAAAGGCTCAACATCCCTCATCATAAGGGAGATACAAATCAAAATCACAATGAGATATCACCTAACCCAGTCAGAATGGCAAAGATTGAAAAAACAAAAAATAATAAATGTTGGTGGGGTTGTGGTGAAAAGGGAACACTCCTACACTGCTGATGGGAATGAAAATTGGTCCAGCCACTGTGGAGAACAATATGGAAGTTCCTCAAAGAACTACAAATAGAACTACCATATGATCCAGCAATTCCACTCCTGTGTATCTACCCAAAGGGCAGGAGAACACTCAGTTGGAAAAGTGCTTGACATCTATATTCATTGTAGCATTATCATAAATTGCTAAGACATGGAACCACCCTAAATGTCCATGAACAAATGAATGGATTGAAAAAGTGTGGCACATGGGAACAGCAGTTAGCATAATGGCTATGTCACTGAACTCCCATGTAGCCGACTGCGGTTCGAGTCCTGGACCCGATGACTTAAACTCACACCAGGCACATGTGCATGTGTGCCCAAGATCCCGAGAGGAGAATGGAGGAGAAGGGATTGCGGCATGGCCATCCCCCATGGGGGGTGACTTCTCACTTTCTGTCTCTCGGGTCTGGGACTCAAACTGTGGACAACTACATGGGAGTCCAGCGACGGAGCCATTACACCATCTTCTGGTCCCAGTCAGCGTGATTTTCAAGCCACCAGATCTAGGGCCTGAAATATGGTTGGCCATATGGGAGTCTTGCATCTTAACCACCACACTACCTGCTGGCCCCAAAATCAGTTTTAATGATGGACATTTCTACATACTGAAATTTTTCTTAAGTTTATTTATTATATTTTTATTCACAATAGATAGCGCATATGTGCACATAAAAGAAAGCCTTTGGGTTGGCGTTGATGGAGATCCAAACCCATGGTCAGTAATGTCAGCACTGCAATTCAGTATGCTGCCAACTGTGTCCCAGAGGCTAGGCCTCAAAATGGTTTCTGACTATAACATATAAATTGTGTATCATATTATAGACAAGAAACTTGAAATATCAATGACAAAAAAAAATCCTTACTCCTAGTTTCTATTTCATAATTCATGACTTAGGAAATTTATTTATTTATTTCTATTGTTTTGTTTTGTTTCTTATTGTCAGAGGACACATGTGCTCACCAGAGAAAAACAGAAAGTGAGAGGAGGAGGACAGTGGGGACAGTTGTACCACCATCCCTTCTCTTCCATTTCTCCATCCTGTAAGAATTTTGGGCACACAAGTTCATGTACCCAAGCATGTTTTTCAAGCCACCAGGGCTGGACTTCAAACAGCATCAGCCATGTGAGATCTGGCTCCCTTACCTACTAGACTACAGGACCAGCCCAGGGAACTTAGTTTTTACTTATTGTTTTTTATTATTTTCACACAAAAATGTTTATTGACTATATATGGATTATAATTTCAGTTACCTTTTTGTTATGTTCTGTCACTCACCTGGAATCAACCTTTTTCTCCATTCTCTGTCTAATGAGTTTTTGATGGAAATTTGACCAGTGGCTTGACATATACTTCTTACTGAGAATTATCATGAATCAAAATGTCTTTTATCTTCCCCATCTAGTTACGAGAGAAAGGAGGAATAAAAGTGAGTAAGTTATCCACAGCCTCTCAGGAGTCACATATATTTCTTTTTTCATGAAAGAGTATGTGTACATGCACATAAAAGTGTGTGTCTTCCTCCAAAGGAGACAGGCACCCTCCACAAGGATTGGTCGAGTTACAGTCCTCTTCCTCCAATTGGGTCCAGGGCACTCAAGTGACCTAGTATTTCAGAATGACTAAATTCAAACTGCTACACTTGAGGAGCTTATTACCACTGCACCAGGAAGCAGGCCCAGAGCCACATTTCTAAACATCCACATGGCAGCTCTTAGTCTCTGTCCTCATCCATTCTTGTACCTAAAGAAAAAGGGAGAGAGTGTGCAAACACCTACATGCAGAAGACAGGTATTCTGATAGCTGTCTCACAGCTGCAATCTTCTGCTCTAGCCTCCCAGTTAACTAGCTCATAGGCATATCCCCCCATGCCCAGCCTGTTTTAGGTTGATCCAGGATCTGAACTTGGGCTTTCCACATGGCCCCAGCCTTGCACAGCAGTGCTCCACTGCTTTGCCACTGTGGTTGAACCTGCCCCCTCCCTCCTCATTCATCACTAATTGAACATAGGAGACATTTGACTCAAAATATTCTTTTTAGAGGCTGGCAGGTAGCATGGTGGTTAAGATGTTGGACTCCCACATGCCCGACCATGGTTCAAGTTTTGGATCTGGCAGCTTGCTTGCTCTCTTTTCCTTTCTCTCTCTGGTCACATTAAAAAATAATATTAGAGACCAGCAGTTGGCGTAATGGCTATGCCACTGGACTCCCACAAAATCGATTTCAGTTCGAGTCCCAGACCCGGTGGTTTAAACTCATGATGGGCACCTGTGTGTGTGTGCCCAAGATCCTGAGAAGAAAATGGAGGAGAAGGGATTGTGGTATGACCATAGCCCCTGGGGGATAATTTCTCAATTTCTGTCTCTCTTTCTCAAAAGCACATGCACCCTATAGCAAAAATTTCTCCACCCCAAAATTTTTTTTAATATTTTTATTTATTTTTAAAAATTTGTCATAGCATACATGCACTCATCAAAGAGAAAGAGAAAGAGGGAAAGTGAGAAAGTACCCATTATGGGGAATGGTCATACCACAATCCTTTCTCTTCCATCTCTCCCTCTTTTTTGGACAAACTAATACATATCTGGCATGGTTTTCAAACTGCCAGGTCCAGGACTATGTAGTTGACCATATGGCATTCAGCTGCTTAACCACTAGAGAATCAGATGACCCAAACTTTTTTTTTGGAGAGGTTTTTGCTCTAGGGCGCATGCATTCACCAGAAAGACAGAGACAGAAAGCGAGAAATCACCCCCAACCCCCATTGAGGATTGCCACACCACAATCCCTTCTCCTCCATTCTCCTCTCAGGATCTTGGACATGCACACACACATGCTCGGCATGAGTTTAAGCCACTGGGTCTGGGACTCGAACCATGGTTGACTACATGAGAATCCAGCGATGTAGCCGTTATGCTATCTGCTGGTCCCTCAAACTATTTTTTTAATTGCATTATTAAAAAGTTTTTTAGGAGACCAACAGGTGACTAAAAAGTTTTTTAGGAGACCAAGCAGCAGAATCCCACATGGACAATTCAGTAGTTCAAGTCTCGGACTCAGTGGTTTAAAAAACACACTGGGTTGGGACCAGGAGATGTCATAATGGTTACATCTCAGGACTCTCATGTAGTCAACAGTTTGAGACTGTTCAAGTCCCAAACCTGGTGGTTTAAAACTCATGTCAGGCACAGATGGAAACTGAACTTGATGCAGACCTCGTTATCATTGAGCATCATGTTATCACAGCACCACCACAGCTGGCCTCTGCTTTCAACCCATATTACAGACGCTCCTCAGTTTATAGGAGATACATCCCAATAAATTCATTGTAAGTGAAAAAATGCATGTACTACCCAATGAAAACCAATGTAAAGTTGAAAAATTGTAAGCTGAGTCATGGTAAGTTGGTGACCATTTGTACAAGCAATTACGCTATCTTAGTTTGGGTTCCCCCAACAGCAGATCCTGAGTTAAATATTTAGGTACCAGTAGTTTATTTGGAAGGTCGTCCTTTGGCGAAAAAGTGGGGAACTGAGAGGGAAAGTATGGAATTCCAAAAAGTATGTGTGAATGAGCAACTGCCTCTATTGCCCCTTTGAGGAGCGACAGAGATGGGGTTGTTATTCACCAAGAGCCATCCGTTATTGGTCAAGGATATTAATTCCCTGATAATAAAACTTTAGATGGACTAAGAAAATATTGGTGGCCTCTAAAAATAAATGCTTATATACATATATAATTTTCTTTCTAACACAAACGCTAACGCAAACGCTACCGCTAATGCAAAGCGCTAACGCAAGCGCTAACGCTAAACGCAAGCGCTAATGCAAAAACGCTAACGCAAAGCGCTAATGCTAACGCAAAGGCTAATGCAAACCCTAACGCTAATGCAAACGCTAATGTAAGCGCTAACGCTAACGCAAACGCAAAGCGCTAACGCAACTGTAGGAACTGTTCTGAATTGGCCAGAACCAGTAGAAACAGATCAGGACCAGTATTAGCCCATTAAACTTGTCAGAAAAAGATATATGCAAATGAAATGCCTCTGACATGTGATGACATACCAATGATTTGATAATGACATGTGGTTGATAGAAAAGTGACATGTGATTTGTATATGATGTGCCTCTCTCTGCCTATCCCTGTAATCCTATGACTGAGAAATCCACCCCGTTCCCTGATCTCCAAAGAGTTTCTTTACCTTTCTTTTTTCTTCTCCTTTGAGCCTAGTGCAAATATCCAGGTCATGGACTGTCACACAGCCCCTCTTAACAGTCCAGGATTGCCCAAAATATTCCCACCAGGCATGACACTGATCCTAGACTGCTACCCAGGGCACAACAGGCATTACTTGCAGTCTCCAATGGGCACTTCCATCACTCCCACTGCCCTACCAGGAGCCCATTCCAATGTCCTAAACTTCCCTTGTGCCAATATTGACCACTGGTTTGGCTGAGGAGCAAGATGTGAATGGATTTTTCACCCTTATGTTACACCATGCCACGAGGGTCTCAGTGCTACTGCTTGAGTATCAAGGCACTGCAGAACTTTGGGAAGCTGCTCTTGGATGGTCTGGGTTGGGGATGGATCTGGGCATCAGTACCATACCATACTCAGAATCTCCACTCCCCATAACAATTCAGGCTCAGCTGTCAGAATAATCTCATCATACTAGCTACCTCTTCCCTTAGGGTATGTTCTCTTCCTGGAGGCTCCCTTAGAGACTCACAGAATGACAACAAGGATCACATTCAAGGACGGTTCCCTATATCGTAATCAAATTAAAGTCTATGTTCACATGAAATAATTTTGTTTACAGGAAAATAATTTGCAAATACAACCAAAGCATGACCAAGGTGAGGGGATGTCAGGGAATTTGACCTAGCAAGAAAAACACTTCTGCCCAAGCCAGATCCCAAGTACATCTCCAATGGCACTGAAAAGCTCATCTTTAAATGTCTTGTGATTACATTTCTTTTTCGAATTAACATCTTTCCAACTGTTGAGATCTAAAAAGATCTCTGGCTCAAGCAGCAGGAAGACAGGAGAAAACTCGGCACCATTATTAATATCCTATATGTAATTTGTAAAGAACATTGTCAGGAATCAAGGGGAAAGAAAGAACAGGGGCACACAAACCAAACTGTCCATGTCCTTTGTGCATGGCTGTGGTTGGCTGAGTTATATCCCAGGTCTGAAAATGTCACAAGTACAACCCTCTCTATGCAACCTATTATCTTTCTTCCTGTAGGAGCCAGTGGGTGCACTAATAGCAAACCACCGTGATTCGCACAAAATTGAAATAGCTCTTTTGGGACAAAAGCAAAAACTGTAATTCAACTACGCTAGAGGACACTGACCTGAGCATGATGACTTTTCACTCACTGCTACACTCGGATAGATACAAGACGTTCCAGCTCCATCTGGCCACTGAGCCCTAAATACTATTTTCTACCACCTGATCAGAAGTCCTGGGAATTCTTGCTGGAATTCCATATGGGGAGTTCAAATGAGGGACAAGGCTTGGGAATCAGGGACAACCTAGGGAGCCACTCCTGAAAGGTTGCAACACTCCATGCTTAGACAGAATTTATGATTAGACAGAATTTCATGACAAATATGAAAGAATAACAGGAAGTTGGTGGAAGAAACCATAGATCACCTGGGCCTGCATTTCTCCAAGTGTAATGCTCAGACCTAGCTGGTTCAAGGAAGGCACCAAATATCACTGAGAGAAAGTCATTCCCTCTTGATTCTTCAGTATAATGAGAAAATCATTCTCTCTTCATTTCCCCTTAATCTTTCTGATTAAGTCTTTAACACGTACTTGTTACTCTGTCCTGACTTGAACCAAGAGTAATCAGACCTCAGGTAAGACCCTGAGGCAAGCAAATCTCTGGCCAGAATTCAGTAACTCTTCTTTTTTTTTTTCTCTTTTACTTGCTTTTATGGTAACCTTCTATTCAAGGCAACTGGTGCCAGTTTTCCATTTAAAGTATTGATAATAAAGTTTTCTTTTTAAAACAAATATATTTAAAAATTTTAAAGGTAAATCATCACCAAGAAAAGTAAAATGCTTCTTGATTTCTGATGGACTATGTCCTGATAAACTCATCATAAGTCGAAAATATCAGTAAGTCAAAACTGCACCTAATATACCTAACCTACAGAAGATCATAGCTTAGCTTAGCCTACCTTAAACATGCTCAGAACATTAATATCAGCTCACAGTTGGGCACAATCAACTAACGCAAAGCCTATTTCATAACGAAGTGTTGAATATCTCATGTCATTTATTGACTATCGTACTGGAAGTGAAATAAAAAAACAGAATGGTTATATGACTATTCAAAGTATGGTTTCTACTTTATGTTAGGCATAAAGACAAGGGAACAACCAGC